TGATACACGTAGCGGTGGCCGAAAACGTGAGCACAACTAAGTCGGACGGAAGGATAAGGACTGTTGGGATTGGCCAGCGGGTGAGTAGAAAGATGATTACATGGGTAACATGGCACGAACAGCGGTCTACTGGATAGTGGGTAGTGGGGGGGATAAGAAGCAGAAGGTGCTGTGTGTGTGGACGATGATGATGATGATAGAGGTGATAATGATGTGTTTCTAGGCTTGGGGGGAATTGATTAAACACGACAGAAGAAGGGTGAGTGGGAATCAAGATTAAGATGTGCGTCCCTTGTGTATCATGAGGAACAAGTTATCTCTACTCCAAAGGTACGGTACATGTATGGGGAGCATAAGTAAGATACATGTAGGACGTTAGGGATCTTTGGATATGGCCATGTGAGAAGCTACATCTCATGCAATCCTCCGAAAGTGATCATGGAGGGGACCTTTAATTCTGACTGACGTCTACAGCTAGGAATTCAGTGTTTGATTATTATTTACCTTTACGCAGATCCATTAAAACAAATCGTAGGAGGTACAAGTATTAGATCAGATCAAGGTCCCTACATGTTGTATCCATTTAGGTATTACACTGGTATTTAGCACCTCGGCTTTCTCAACGATGTTTGCCTTGGTTGAATACTATACCGGTATCTCAACCGTGTATTCAAGAATCTCGGTTTTCGATGTCCCGTTACCGGTGTTTCTGTTACGTGTTTCTGCTCAGGACAGAAAGAGATTTTTTTTCCATTGCCACCACCACCCTCCCTTCTCATGACCCAGGCCATCTGAATGGACAACGCAGAAGTTAGTATCACATTGATCCTTCCATTTCCCCTCTTCTCTTCTCTGTCACTGCTTCGGTGCTGATGCTGATGCTACATGCTGCTGCTACTACTGCCGTCCTAAACGAGGTGCCGGCTTTTTATTTTCGTTCTGAGCTGGCGGGTTTCTTTCGTCTACTCTAATTGGCTGCACGCCCTGACACCTTTCGTCAACGGGTTTTTTGTTTGGCCCGGTTGTTTAGCTGGAGTCCGGCGACGTCTTTGCTGATCTTGGCGGACTAGACATGTAGTCAGTTAGCGTGCTCTCTTCTGAGGCCTCACCAACCGTTGCCCTCTATCATCTCTTCAGACTCCTGTCTGTGATCTGTGCTTGCTTGCCTCCTTGCTTGCTCTTCCCCCATCCCCTCTCATCACTCCATCGCTTCTCCATCGCTCCCCCTCCCGCGGCGAAATATTGAGTAATCCAAAGCATATGCGCTACATAAGGCAAGGAAAAAAAAAGTTACTGCTCTGTTCTCACTTTCTAGAGGGCAGCACCCCAATCTTCTGGGCTCCCGATCTTCTGGGTCGGGGAGTGATTGGCTGATCATAATCCGATTTCTCGCCTTAGTCTGAAGGAAAAAGAAGCCCCGGATACATACATTTGACACTGCGTGCACATGTATGATGTATGTAGGTAGAGTAACTTAACGCATCCAGGATCTCTTCCTTCAATTGCCTGGTCAAAAGAAAGTCAAAATGAAAAATGGGGGGAAACATTTTTCTTCCTCGTACCCTATAACAAGGGGGAAGGTTGCCTGAGTGTAAGCATCAATACAAACATCTACCTTTGTAGATGTTCAAGACAAGAACCCTACTCTACTCCTAGCGTGTATCTCACATAACGCCGCATGCCGCAGAGAACGTTCTGCGTGCATACCACCCGTGCAACTCTTCTTTTGCCTTGCGGGTGCTGCTCATCGCGGCGTTCGCCACTGTGGATGTGGAGAGCATCCTTGGTTCCGGACACGCGGTGTCTGCCCGTTCATTCCTGCCAAGCTATCACGATCCGAGGTGACGGGTATCATGGAATGTGCATAATGGAGGAAAGGGGGGGTGCGATTTATAAACAAAAGAATCCACCTGTGATAAACAAAAGAATTGATGTGACGCCTGTGACGGGGGCACAGAACAATTCCATATATTGGAAAAAGTATATATGTATGTGGTGGGGTATCGCCGAGCAATGATCGAAAATACAACTATTCGGGATCGCTCCTTGCATCAATTGGGGATGATATGGAACTTGGGCCGAATAACGCGGGAGGTTTATTTTCTATAAATAAGGCTGTCCAGGCATCGCCTGCCTGCAATTGCCAGATTATATATGTACACTTACAAATACTTATAGCGATAGCAATTGATTGGTATCATCAGTAGTAGGAACATTCCGGTAGACTAAAACTTAATCAACCAAACAGCATTCAACAACGTCGGCTCCTTGAACTCTGGTTCTTTTCCCTCAGAGTAAAATTGCCTTGCTCATGAGGCAGATTACCCCGCGCTCGCGTCCTTATCGAGTCTTGTACATTGTACAGGGTTCTTGTTTGTTTTGAGAACGACCGAAACGGTGGAATACAGATACCTAGTGGAATACAGATACCTAGTGGAATACAGATACCTAGTAGAATAGTAGACCTATCACACTGGTGATGTTTAATGCGCCTTCATGAGCGATCCCGCAGTGCAGCTTGTCTAGCTTGTCTTTGCCAATGATCAATTGCACGTTATCAATTAAATGTAGGCACAGCCGTCACCTAAGATCATGGAGAATATGTAGTAGTCCAGCTGCAGGCAGGCAGATCAGTATACGCCCATGTCAAAAGCCTAGGCGCTCATGAAGAGTTGAAACACTATAGATTCTACAACTACAATACTCATAGAGAAAGAACAAGAGTGAAACTAACCCTCGTAAATGTTTGTTCAAGCGCGCAGAGAGCGAGAGGATTTGTACTCTAGATAACTGCAGAGACAGACAACAGCAACAGCAACATTCATCGTTGTCTCAGAGGCAATTTTGTCTGCCCAGCTTGCACTTAAGCGCGATCATCACATCTCTCCCATATAACTCGTCGTTCTCCAGACTCTTCTCCATCCTCAGTCCCGATTGGTAGGGTTTCCTTGCTTCTGCATTCCCAATCCACACAGCAGAGAGAGCTGCGTGACTGACTGGGAAAGGCAAGAATGGCGATATTCCCGTCACTTTGAACTATATCTATCCTATTACTACTTATTCGACCCCTCACTCTCTGGGTCCTCGCTCCACACCTTCGCGTCCCCCTCCTCCTCTAAACCCCACTACTCTATTTACCTCTCCCCATCTCGGGCTCCTATTCGTGGACTCGTTACTACATTTCCTCTTTCTCTCCCTCTCCCCCAGTATTATTATCGTACTATTCCTGTTGCTGTGCAGCATTCGAGGCTTGACCTGTTCGAAATAATCGTTCTGGAACCTTATCAGTATTATTGTCGCCCTTTGACAGGACTGAAATAGTGACAGCAGCGTTGAACGCAGTCTGTTTTTTTTTTTTTTACTCATCATTTATTGAATTTCGTCTAGATATTCAGTTTTCGTCTATTTATTTTTTTCGCTACAGTCCATTATCTTCGACCACTGGTTCGGATGAAGTCACCTCGCGGGTTTGAACTCGATTATCACCAAAACGAGCTTTTTTCAATTTGGGAAAAGTTATTCTGCTACACGAACATTTATAAATAGCCGGGAAAGTACTTGCATATACTTTGGTGTGAAAAGATTTTTTCGATTTTTTTCTTTTCCCCGTTTCTTCCGGTGGTTGCAATTGAGAACGTTGTGGTAGTTGTCGTCGGGAGTCTTTTTTTTTTTTGTCTGGGGTGTGCATGAAACGAAACGAAACGAAACAGTGGGTTGTGTTTGTTGTGGGGTTGTTGCTAGAGCAGAGATTCGCTTCACGTGGTCAGGTGAGGCGAGGTTGTTGTGAGTCCCCACGCGTTCGTTTGTTGTTGTGGAGTGCAGTCGTGGTTCGTGGTTCGTGAGTGTCACTGGCTGGTACGTGTGGTGAGCGAGCGAGAGAGTGCGTCAGACTTCAGTGAGCGTTAGTGGGTGGATGAGCTGTGGCTGGCTGGGTGGTTGGTAGGCGGTCTTCAAAAGCAGCAGGCAGAGAGTCAAGACAGAAGCAGAGAAGAAGGAAGAGGAAGAGGAATAGCATCTGCATAAGCCTGTACAGGGCTGCACAAAGAAGAGCAGTGATTGGGTTACAGGCCAGTCCTGCAGCAGTGAGTGCAGGGCTTTTTTCTTCCTCTTCATCTTCTTCCTGGGGTTGGGGGACTTCAACTTGCACTGGCAGCGGTAGCAGTGCAGTCAGTTACCAGCCAGTGTGCTGTGGCAGAGGGTTGTTTCCTGTCTGGACCGATCGCCAATTTCTGCTTTCTCTCCCACTTACCACACGTAGACTATCTCTGTCCCACTCACATCACCATCCACCACTCACTCTCCACCCCTGAAAAGGGCAAAGGACAAAAAAAAAGCAGCGCAACAACAGCAGCAGCACTGGCAGTGGCAGTGGCAGCTAACGCGTTCTTCTTCCACAGCAGTCTGTCAACACGACTAAGCAGCAGCACAGCGAATAGTGCCCGCCGTACTAAGCAACGAGCAACAAGCAACGGGCAACGGGCAACAAGCAAATAACGGGTGCAACCCTTCACCTCACCTTCACACCTTGCTCATTCTGCTGCTTCGCGACGACATCTTGCTCGCCCTCTCACATCGCGCCCTTCTCGTCCTTCACCTTACCCTCTTTCACCACCACCACCATTCCCACCACCAGACGCCCACACCCGCCCAGCGGCCGCGCCTTATCAACGTTTAAACTTTTTTCTCCTTCCACTGCATTACACAACAGGCTAGCTACAGTACCTACCCCTCCCTCCCTCCCTTACTCACCACCCACCACCCACCACCCACCATCACCCACCACCATCGATCAATCAACTCCCCCACCTCCCCCAATCAAAACCCACCACCACCCCCGACCCTTTTGTAAACATTCCATCGTCATCCATCATCCATCAGCCACCCCCCCCCCCCCCCAAATCTTCTACTACCATAACCACCGGCAATCCATCTAGTAGCCGCATCATACGCCGTTGACTTCTAATCGCAAGCGCTGCTGCGATTTGAACAGCCGCTGTATCATGGTCGCGTCTTGCTCACCCCATCGCCAGCACGGCGATATAGCAAGTTTATTTCCGCGCGCTCACTCTCAATCACCACTCGTCGCTCCCCCGCCACCTGATTTGCCCGTCTTGTCAGCTTTACCAACCTTCTCAGCACCTTTCACTCTCGCACTTGCAAATACCGCTGTTGCAAGAACAAGGAGTGCAACTCGCCGCCAGAGCTCTATACCCACAAACCCTCGGGAGTCTACCTTGCTTCCGGACAGCCCTTCAAAACTTCGACCTCTCACAACTACTACACACAACAACATGAACTCAAGCGGGATGACATTGCGATCTAGCTCATCGAGCCCAGCACGCTCCGCCAACTCACGTGACAAGCTCGCCATTCAGAGACAGAACCGCGCAGGGATTGGTGTCGAGAACAAGGAATTGCATAAGCCAGCCAACGGAAGTCCGCTCAAACGCAGCGACGGGGCAATGAACCTTGATATCGGTCGGGCGTCGCCTGCCGCCAAGGGCAGATCTGTCTCTGGGCCAGTCAGAATTACGAACCCTGTCTTTGGGAACTCGTCCTTTAGCTCCACAAAGTCGCCGTCACCAAAACGTTACGCTACTAGAAAAAGCATGGGCAGCAGCAATCTCTATGGCGAGAAACCGAACTTTGCAAAGACGAGGCCCCAGGCGAGGAACCAGCCTGAGTTTCTTCCTCCCGCAGATGCTGCGAAATTACGTCGGACAGGCTCAGTTGAGAATTTCTCGAAAGACTCAAAAGATTCGAAAGATTCGCCGTTTGGGAACAATGCCGATCCACTGCCCAGTGCCTCCAGCCATCCTTTCAATGGAAATGGAGCGCAGCAGTCTCGCCCGCTACCCCAATCAAGTGATGAGGAGCCACCTGCTAGCCAGGAAAGCATGGGTCTTTGCACCCCGCAGAACTATAAGCTCGCCAAACCATTTCCCGCTGCGTTCCACTCAACTGGCTTTGTTACAAAACGTGGACGTCTTGACACCGTAGGGAAGGAACATGGTCCTCAGCCAGACACACCGTGCAAGAAGCCGACTGCTCCTTTCTTTTCTCAGTCTGCAGCCCAGCCCAAAGGAACCACGGGGAAAGGCCGGGGATTAATGTCCATGTCCGATTTTGCTTCGAGCTCTTCAACCCCCGCAGGATATATCAAAGGAAGGAAGTCTCTAGCAAGAAAGAATAGCACCATGAGCAACGACGACGGAGATGACCTTGGCGAATACGAGCTACCCCCAACTCCTACGAAGAAGACGCATAATAACATAAGCGAATTTTTCACGAATAAACGCTTACGGACTGATACGAGCTGTGAGTATAGTAGCTATTCTCGTCCGCAAGACGACAGCGAGCTTCCACATAAAGACACTAATAAACCCATCACAGCTGACGGGTTACATGGACGCTATGTAACCACTTCTACCTCCCCGCATACACCGAAAGATAATATAGTTCCCCCTGACCCCAGTAGTTTATCGATTTCTGGACGTGCCAACAACGCGAGTAAAACCATTTCCCCAGCCACTCCTAGTCCAATGAAAGATTTCTTTGCCGCTTCATCGTCTTCAAACGCTGGCTTTGGCTCCTCCCCTCTTACCCATTCAGTACAGTCGATAGATGGCAAAACTATACAAGTGTCTGATGATTTTGTTCAGAGGTTTTCTGAGGTGAAGCACATTGGATCTGGAGAGTTTTCGGAGGTTTATCAGGTCGTGGAGAGAGAAGGAGATGGGCACAGACGTCATCCGTTTATCGATTCACTCGATCCACCACTTACGCCTCAATTGGCCACTCCTAGTCGCTCTTCTGCCTTTGGATCATCTCCCTTGAGGGCCACTGGCCCTGTGCCGAAAATGTATGCCGTCAAGAAGTCAAAGTCGGCGGTTCTCAGCACTCATGGAAGGGCGAGACGTATGGAGGAAGTCGATATTCTCAGGGAGCTTGGAGAGAATGATCATGTGATTAAGTTTGTGGAGTCTTGGGAGGAGAATGGGCACCTTTATATTCAGACCGAATACTGTGAAAATGGGGGTCTGGATAAGTTTCTGTCTCAACATGGACACAAGGGGAGGCTGGATGAATTCCGTGTGTGGAAAGTGCTTGTGGAACTTTGTTTGGTGAGTCTAGATGCTACCAAAATAGTCCCAAATTCGTTTTGCTGACAAATGTATATCTAGGGTCTCCAACATATCCACAATTCTGGATTCATGCACCTAGATCTCAAGCCTGCGAATGTTCTAATCAGCTTCAACGGAACTCTTAAAATCAGTGATTTTGGAATGGCCGCGAGGTGGCCAGCTATCCGGGGACTAGAACGCGAAGGAGACCGTGGATACATTGCACCTGAGGTCATCAACTCAGCTAAATACGATAAACCTGTTGATATCTTTGCCCTTGGCCTTACAATCATTGAGGTCGCCGGAAATGAGAACCTCCCGCCCAATGGACCTGATTGGCAGAGACTCAGAGACGGGGATATCACTGTAGCCCCAAAGCTGTCCACTAGCCGTTCTGGAGAATTTGTACACCGCGACGAGAGAGGAAACCCAGTCTCCACCGAAATACTCGAGATTATGGAAACCGACAGGACTAACGATTTTCCTCCGACTACACAATATCTTCGTTCTAAGAAAGTACCTGGCCAGCAGCCTAAAGTATCTAGAAGGCTTCGTGGCAGGGTTCTCCTTCATCAACCAAGAGACGGAGATCTTGTTTATCCACCCCAGTTCATGGCGGATAGTGGCCTTGAGAAGATTGTCGGCTGGATGATAAACGCTGATCCAAGTAAACGACCAAGTGTTTCCGATCTCTTGGAAATGAACGAGTTGCGTTGGGTTCATGGAAGGAGGAGATTCCCGGCAACGATATTCGAAGGGCTATGGGGTCCGGACGATTCGGTGCTCGTCATGGAGGATGAAGATATGGGGGTTTCTAACAGCACTGAAGTTGAGCGCTGTCGGGAGGATTGGAGGATGGAGGAGGAGGAGATACTGTGAAGAATCTTTTGGTTCAACATCTTGGATGAATTGAGAGAATGTTTGGGCGAGGTACAAGTCCTTCTTACCTTCGAGATTCCTTTTATTTTGGGAGGTCGAAAAGTTGTGTTTGGGGGGCTTTCTACCTCTTGCTTTTTTCTTTTTCCTTCTTCGTTTTTAAACTTGGGGCAAAAAAATGTGGGGCTGTACTTGATTTTTTCCTTATGAATAAGGGTGCATATTCCTGGGATTTATTTTTCCCCTCTGCACCTCTCTTTGGGGTTTTTATTTCTTTTTCTGAATTGGTGTTTTTTTTTTTCCTTTCTTTTGTTGGTTTTACTATTTTTTAACGGGACTTTTTCTTTCCTTTTACATAAGATTTGTCCGAAGGGTATTATTTTTTTTGTACAACGGAGTTTTTTTACCCCCCCATTTGGAAGATTATTTTCATTACTTTTCAGCACTGATTACTCAACGAGTTTGATATATCGTTACTTCTCTCAGTGTTGAGGTTATTATGACTGTCGTTTCTGTATTTCTCCTGTTTGGGTTCCGGGTTATGGTCTGGTTTGGTTGGCTATATTGTTTTTTTCTCTTTCATGAACTATTCCCCTCTTCACTTCTAACGATCAGCCCTTTTATTTTTACCTTACTTTACTACCATGATAAACCTACCTCCACTACTCTTACTACTACACCCCTCCCATATTTTCTCTTATGATAAATATTTCTTCCCCATCGCGTTTTTTTTCTTCTTCTTTTTCTTCTTTCCCTCTAAATTGTTGAGAGGTCCCTTCGGGATAAGGGCAGACAGTGCCAGGCGCAGGCAGGCACTAGGGAGTTAGTTTAGCGGGTTGCTAGGTGTCAAATGGTCATGATTTGATGTGATGAATATTTTCTCCTTCTTTTACTTGCTTTTTTTCTTTTCTTTCGACTCTTTCGTGTTTCCAGCTCTATATAGTTAGGAACTGTAAAAGTAGTGGCAAGGCGGGGAGGAAGATCACGGAGGAGTTAGATAAATCATTGCATATATACAGAGCAAACAAAAAAGGGAGGGGGGGGGGGGGGGGGAGAGTGGGAAGATCAAGGTATTATGAAGATCATGATTACATCACGTTAATGATTTTTTTTCTTGTCCTTTTTCCTCTTTTCTTCTTTTCTGAGGCTGTTTTACTTGGGCCCCTTGAGGATATATATCCTGTTACTTTCAACGGTTCGCGGGCGCTACTGTACAGGTTGAGAGAAAGAGGGTTGTGTGTGCGTAGTGGGATAGTAATGATATCCTTGATTTGCTGCTGGCTGGTTGCTGCTTCTTAGTTGAAAGTGATATGTAGTGTGGGTTCTTGCGAGTGATGTACTGTGATTGTGGCTTGTAGGGTATGGGGAGGGGATCTATGGTGGTGGTAAAGCCCCTCTAGCTCTGCGTTTGTGAGTTACTCAGACAAATGCCTATGTAATAGATCTATGCAGTACTGGTGTCATGGTTGATTGTCGTTGTGAGTTGCGGTTGCGGGTAAGGAAGCCCCAAACGACAGTCCCGTTAATGTTTTTGCACACACAATGTAGAAGGGGAGGAAGAAGTTGAAGAAGAAACAAAAGCCAATTGCTTGAAAATATTTTTATCATCTATACAAAATAAAAAAAAAAAAAAAGATCTCTATGTACTAGAAAAAACTCTGGGAAAAAGAAACCCTAACCCACCAGCAATCACCCCAACTGTAGCTTCGCCGGCCCCCGTCCTCAAAGATGGAAACGGGGAAACCAGTTTCAGAGCCATGGTTCCCAAATTCAAATAAAAATTAGAATCGGGAGCCCGGGCGACTCGGGAGGTAAGGTAGAAAACTAAACTTATAGCAACTGGGAGCTGTACTAAGACGTATATGGTTTGGTTTTTGGCCGCCGGATGCCAAAGTTGGAGGAACTCAGGAACTCAGGCTGCCGGCCTGTGACGTTGGATTTTTTGTTTAGATAGAGGTTTTAGTACGAAAGCGAGGTGTAGCTTAACAGACACGATATTACATATAATATAAACATGTGAAGTATACATGTATGTAATGTGAGTGATAAAGGGATACAGTGGCAGCTTCTGTCGGAGGACAAAGAGCGAGCAAAGTGCTAGACATCATCAACACAATTGAACACGATATTTTTTACTACTGTCATTTCAGTCCTGTTATTCAATTAAAGTACATATATGTGCACAAGCGGTTTTGGGCTTATAGGGTAAAGCCGAATCTCGAGAATCAGACAGAGCGGGTTTGGCCCCTGAAGAGCTTCTTCCTGGTCTCCTTATTATCGCGGAATTGTGGGGTTGTTGACTGCTATATAGGTATTGAGGGACAGCCTCTAGCTGACTCTTAACCATGGAATAAAGTCAGCTCTGCTCAAATATGATGATGTAGTACTTCGTACACGCGGTTATATACCTAAAACACACCCAACATGTACTATTTGTTTTTAGCATAAGATTATTCTCAGATCCATTGTTCTCCAATCCAAAGAGGCAGCAGCTCCCAATGACGCATCATAAACTATCACTCGCATAAGTTCAGCCTGCCGATTAGCCCAGGCATCCGGCCTGACAGAGGTCATAATTACAAAAGATGATGGAGGGCTATTAAGTCTCATAAACATACTTGGAGAGTATAGGTCCAAGCACGTTATCAACACCCAATGGGGACCAACAAGCTATCCAATGAGCTACTACGACCAATCACCCCCAGCCATCACTCATCGACTTTCATTGTTTGTCATATTCTATGTACTCCGCCCTTCCCCCACATGACATGAGTCATCGTCGAGATATCCGGGTAGCTCCATCCATATTCACCAATTATCACTCGAGTAGTAGAGAAAGAAAATACACTATAAAATGACTGCATAAGGACACGTTCGTCCCAACCACGCTGGGCCAATCCAAAGTCGTTTATTGGGAGCTGTTGGTTTGAGGTGTCTTTCCTATTTTATGTGCTCGTCTGGGCTTACACATATCGCTAACGAATAATAGTTGAATGAAGAGTAGAGTCCTCTCCCCCCCCCCTCCCCAAATCCGGAGCATGAGCAGAATACTAGACTGGTGATGAGCCAAAGAGGGGATAATATCCGGGTATAATCTACATACCCCGCAGTATGAAACTCCATACTATCGTTGAGGGTGAATTTTTTTTTTTTTTTTTTGTTATTGTGCTTATCCCGCGCAGGAGGGGGACCCCGTGCCATTCTCGAGACTGGGAGTGGATGGCGATGGAAGATGTCGAAGGAAAAAATAACTGCCGACGTACAACAAAAATATATTAATAGCCTTAATTATATAATACAAGAGCAAATTATCAAAAAACAACTGCGCGTTGTGTTGTTGTTGTTGTGATACTTGTGTGCAATAATTCGAGGGGGAGGGGGAGGGGAAGGGAGACCCACTTTTAGGTCACGGTAATACTATTATCACGAATAGTAGGTTCTCTACCTAAAGTAGCTGCTGCTGGTTTGTGTGTGTCTCGGAATTATGCCCGCCGACACCTTGGTGGCTAGTTGCGGCGGGCTGTTTGTTAGTTGGACGAAAGACGGTACGCTAGGCTGTGCTGATGCTAGCGCACACACAGGGATTATTGCACGTTGCACAGAGCCGCATTCGTCACAGAGTAAAAAAAAAAAGGTAGAACTCAACTTCACTGGATCATTTGAGATATACGAGGAATGATGAGATCACAGCGCATCATACGAAATATCTGTTCCGCCGTTATACCCAGCTTACGACGAAGGGTTATTGAACATGCGCCTGCTGCTTCAATCGCTGCATCGCTATCACAGCCAGTACGGTACGCTACAAGCTCGTCCTCGAAACGATGGCTGGAGCGACAGAGAAACGATTATGCAGCCAAACAGGCAGAGCTTAAGGGTCTAAGAAGTAGGGCTGGAATTAAGCTAGAGGAGATCAACATGAAGCATAACATATTTCAGAGCGGACAGACAGTGGTTGATTTAGTGGGTTTGTCCTGAGTATGGGGGATAATAGATAGACAACTAATGTGTGTTTGGATCATCATGGTAGGGATATGCTCCGGGTTCTTGGACACAGGTATGCATCATTTACCTTAAACTTATGGGGACTAGAAGCTTATCTTACTCTTCCAGGTCGCGGTGGAAAAGACTGCCCCGTATGGCCGCGTTCTCGGCGTCGATATCATTCCCGCCCTGCCTCCCAAGGGCGCCTCAACTATGCAGGGTAATTTCACCGATCTGCGGGTTCAGGCAGAGATGAAGAGGTTTCTTGCCAATCCTCGACGCGGGCGACTATTGAGACCACAAGTTACCACCGAAGAAGAAGGCGCGGTGAAGGGCGAGGTGGAGGTAGCAAGCCAAACATATATTGAGCAGGAACGGGCAATGATGAAAGATGAAGAGGAATGGGCGGCAAAAGCTGGAGACACAGAAGGCGGGGAGAACTCGGTAGACGTGGTGTTGAGTGATATGTTAGAGCCCTTCCCCATGGTAGAAGGATTGTCCAAGATGAGCTTAAGCAAGCCTTATAGGTTAATGGCAACATCTGGACACACTTTGAGGGATCAAGTGGGAAGTATTGTTTGTTTCCCCCCCTTCGTTTCTCTTCTTCTGCGCTTGTAAGCTGGTGAAATCTGTTAACGGGCCTCCCACGAGATCACAGAAACTCTGCAATTCGGCGCTTGCCTTCAGCATTGATGTCCTTAAGCCAGGAGGGTCTTTTGTATGCAAGTTTTACATGGGCGGGGATTCTAAACTTTTGATGGAAAAGTTTAAACAAGTATATAACAAGGTTTCTATAACCAAACCAAAGTCTTCGAGATCGGTATGTTATCCTTCCCTGGTATTGCTATTTCTGACCCCTTTGGAACCATAACTTTTTGGGGTAGATATTAAACAGGCATATGTAGGGTTCAAAGGAAGTTTATTTGGTTGCGCTGGAGAAGAAGGAGAAGGTGAACAAGAAAAAGGTAATGTTGATGGAACCTACAGATTAATCTAATTAAATTGGACTCTCCTCTCCGTTGGAACTGGAATAAGCATTTTGGGGGTGAATGTTGGTTACACCTGATTGGGCGGGCGCTGGCATTTAAGATAGTCTTCTCGGTAGGAGAGTTGTGCAAAAAAGGGTTTACTTGCGCGGTATGTACGGGGAATTTTCTTTCTCTCCCTTACACTGTGAGTGCCAGTGTGTAGTAGGTAGGTGCCGCCGCAACACAGCTGCTGCACATGGCAGATGGAAGTCGACATGGGAAACCCTACCATTACCAGGTCCACATCCCAGCGCCAAGAATGAGATCTGGGAAAAGCCACACCTTTTTTTGCTTTGTGCGCGACTTTTAATCCATTCGACGGTCTTTCTAGCGATGGTGAAATTTTGTGAAGAAATTCTTTCTTTGAAGGGTCTCATGTGAGGAGAGAGCTAGGGGGAGAGAGTTATTTAACCGCGTATATTGTTTTTTCCTTCTTTTTTTCTTTCTCGTTCTCTATCTCTGCCTCTGCTTTTCACCAGCACCTACCACCCCCGGTTCTTTAGTGAGTAGAGTACCTAATGAGCATGAGTGAATTGAAATGGGGTGGTTTACTGAGAGTCATCACTTGCTCGCAAGCGACTACCAGCTCCGGTATAGAGGTACATACATATATATAACTACCGTTTGAGTGCTTTGGGTTGAATGGTTGAGTTTCTCTCGTAGGCCTCTCGTCACTGAACGTGGTCCCACACCCGGCGAGGATACGATAGAATGTAGGGAGGATTTATTATTATATTATGTATGTATTATGTATATTAAGTATGTAATAGGAGGAATAAATAAACATCCGAGGGGATGAATGGACGGAGCTGATTAGGGAGGGGGGTGATGATATGATGGTGGTGAGTAAGTGGGAGAATAATACTGGAAAGAGAAGACAGACGGAGAGAGAGAGAGAGAGGATACATTAGTAGCAGCTAAGAGCTCTTAGCTTTCCTCTCCTCCACCCCCCACCCCTTAACTTGGGTTTTTTCCTTCCATCATCTGCTTCATCTTTTGTCTTTGGATCCCCTTGCCTGCCGCTTTATAATTTACTCTCTGTGCTGTGAATTCCTCCCTTCCCATGCAATTTGGGGGGCTGATATAATATACATACATACCCGTCTCGGTATACGTCTCTCCATACTGCTGCTCTGCGGCTGCTACGTCGCTACCCACTCGGCCCACATCTATCTATCGATCTATCTCACCATCAATCATCAATCGTCAATCATCAATCACAATCCATCAAGCCCTCAAGCCGCAACCCAACCAACGAAAGAAAGGAAAAGAAAGCAGAACCCCAACCCACGTCACCTTGACACCTCACATTTCACCTTTTTTCCTTCCACCCCAACGAACGAACGAACGATCCCTCAGCTCAGCTCAGCAGCAAGCAGCAAGCAAGCAGCTCCTACCTTTCACACACACGCACACAAACGCACCACACACACCACACACCACAATCGGTTTCCCTCTTCTGCAGGCAGGCAGGCACAGGAACAGGCACAGGCAGCTCCAAGAAAAATGCTTAAAACCAAGCCTCTTAACCAGCTCCTCTCCCAGTCCATCTCCCCCAACGTCTCTTCCGCGCTGTAAGCCCTCCACAAACCCCCCACAAACCCTCTCCCCGACGAACAAACATAATACAATAATAAAAATAAAAATAAAAACTAACAAATTGCCTACTCACCCCTCACTAGACTCTTCACACCCACAGGCTCCCTCCTCGCAACAGGCACCTCCCCGACGGCCCCCGACGCCCGCAAATCACGAACCTACTCGGCCCTCGCCGCAAACATCTGGAGCGCCTATGACCGGGTCGCGGTCCAGGGCGTGATTGAACAATCGCTGCCCGCCCCCTCCGATGATACCGCTGCTGTCGTCGCTGCCGCCGCTGCCGCGCCCACCCCCGGAGGTGGTGCAGCAGGTGGTCCTTCTGGACAGGGCCTCAAGTCGCTGACGCTCGAGCTGTCGGACTATAACCTGCACATCCAGGTTGTGGTCCCGGGCGTGCTGCTGTGTCTGATTGGGCCCAAGCAGCCGACGAGGCATAACAGCAGCTCGTCGAGCCTGCATTCGCAAGAGGGGGAGGCGGCGGCGACCGGGAGTGTGCCGAGGAGCGGCGGGGGAGGCGGCGCGGGGAGCGCTAGTGTGGGGAGTAGTGTGGCGGGGAGTGGCAGCTTGGGGATATTGAAGACGCAGGCGCAGGCGTTGGTGGCGTATTTGGAGACGGAGTTGTTGGGGTTTGAACTACCGGAGGGTATATAGTTCGATCTCTTTTTCTTTGGGCATTTTATTTTTATTTTTTATTTTTATTTGAGATGCTGTTGCGCCCTTTTTTTTTTCTTCCTTTTCTTTTGGAAGGGTATAGCAATTGCAATTGCAATTTGCGGTGTTAATGGTCGCTTTTGGCTACGGATCAGGGCTGGCTACTTATGATTTTATCGCTTTTCTTATATTTTTTTTTTATCTATCCATCCTATAGACTATTGTTTTACGAACTCAATTTGGGGGTAGTTTGGGTGTTTTTCTAACCTGGTTTTATTCTTTTTCCTATCCTTTTTATGAACCCCCATGCAATGGTTTGGCTTTTTGAATTCTGTTTTTTCTTTCCCCCCCGGTCTATTTTATTCCTACTACTTACTTGCTAGTCCTCAAATGATTGGGAGATGATGATGATTTATTTTTGGAGATGACGGTGATGTTTAATGTCTGGACTATGGCTTGCTTGCTTTTTTTTTTTACCACCTTCTTGAGGGACGGACTTGGTGACATCCTTGGTTGGGCCCATGGAAACAGTAGTTATCTCGTAATGCGTTCTTTCTCTGGGTTTTGTTTCCTGACGGGTGATGGCCAAATATTTGAATTGTTTCAACTGCACTGGCCGTGGCATGTCCGTACCTGCAATGATTGTTCTTACGGCTCTGGTTTTCTGAGCATGTAGGTTATCGTTAATTGTCTCTGGTATCATTGAATGTCTCTTGGGCCCGATTAGTCAATTGCTTATGTATTCGTAAACCAATGGTATACCGAGTCATGTCTTGCGATGATGCAATTCAATTATTCCTGCCGAAATGGTGGACTGGTGGGCCATGCTTGGTAGAGTGCGTAGTTTTAATTGGCGAGGCGCTGATGGTGTTGGGGGCTGCAATTGATCACAGCCCTACCTGCGACGAACACTCTCCCCTCCAGTTACCAATATATCCATCCACCAAAAACCACGAATTGAACCCACCACCCAGCATCTCATCGGATCATCCATCCCATCGCAGAGCCTCCCCCACCACCCCCACCATGCGCCCCGCCCTCCACCACCTCCTCCTCCCCCGGCGGCCACTCCTCCACCACCACCACCTGCAGAGACGAGGCTTCCTCGGCCTCTCCCGCGCCCTGCCCAAGCCGCCCCCGCCAGGCATCAGCACAATCGAGAAACTCGTCGGCACGCTCAACACGCGCGAGGGCCGCCCCCCGCCCGCCGAGACGCTGGTCGCGGCGTTCCGCGACGTGGTGCGCACGGCGCGGGTGATTACCGATGAGCATGCGCATGGGTTGGCGCGCACGTATCAGTACCTGGGTGGCGGGGTGCCGGCGGAGGATGTGAGGGCTGCTGTGAGGGCGCTGTGGAAGAGTAGTCGTGGTGGTGGTGGTGGTGGGGTTGCGGGTGAGGGGAGTGGGGAAGGGGGGAGTCCGCATGTGGCGGGGCTGGCGAGAATGCTGTTTGCGGGGCTGGCGGAGCATACGGGCGAGGACGTGGAGGTGTTTGTGGGCGTGCTGGCGGGGAGCGGGAGTGCGCGGGAGGCGGCGGAGGTGGTGCGCAAGTATGTGGGTGAGGAGGGCGAGGGGGGGGTGCTGCGGGAGGCGGAGGCGCTGCGGTGCTGGGAGGCGGTGATGCGCGGGCTGGAGGCGGAGGGGGACGAGAGGGTGCTGGTGGAGATGTGGGAGAATGTGAGGGAGAGCCATGCGGCAGTCACGGCGGGGATGATGGGGCCTGTGGTGCGGTTCTACTGCAGGGGCGGCGAGGTGCGGAGGGCGCGGATGTGGTACGAGAGGCTGGTGGGCGGGGAGGGGCTGGTGCCAGAGCTGGAGACGCATGTCGAGGTGCTGCGGCTGTGCGCGGAGAAGGGCGAGACGGAGTGGGCGCAGGAGGTCTTTGCCGCGGTCTTGAACGGCGGTGGCGGGGGCGGGGGCGGGGGCGGGGCGGGCGTGTCGAGAGAGGCCTGGGATGTTGTGCTGCAGTGGGCAGATGTCATCACAGGGGACAGCAACGAGATCTCCCGCCTGCTGACACTCATGAAGGAGCGCGCAGCCACCACAGGCATCCACCCAACCATCGAGACCTTCAACGAGCTGATCCGCTTCGCAATCTCGCGGGGGGACTACAGGTCCGCCCGCAAGCACCACAAGCTCGCCATCCACCGCAGGTTCGCCCCGAACCGCCGCACCCTCGAGCTGCAGATCGAGTACCTGGTCCTCGCGGGAAAGACCAAGCTCGCACCGCCCATCTACGAGCAGCTGCGCGCCGAGGAGCTGCCCCCGTCATACCCAGCCCACTCTGTGCAGCTGCTGCTGCAGGCCCTCTGCCGCGAGCCCTCCTCGCCCGAAAACACAGAGCTGATCACGCGCATCCACACGGACCTCGGCGAATGGAACAGCCCGCTGCAGACCGCCACCACCACCGCGCTCCTCTCCCGCTTCCTGCAGTCCTGCCAGTTCAGCGCCGTCATCGCCCTCCTCAACGACCCCTCGTGCACGGCGCTCACCGCGGCCGACCGCAGAAGGATCATCCACGAGATGGGCGAGCACATTGGCCGCCCCACAACGTCGCTCGAGGCCGCGTGGGACACGTACCAGATCCTCTACCAGGTGTTCCCGGAGCTGTCGGTGCGCCAGCGCACAGACATCATGCGCCTCTTCTTCACGCTCGGCCGCAGCGACATGGCCACAATGGTGTTCAAGCACATGCGCGGCACGCCCGGGCGCCGCCCGGGCCCGCACAGCTATGTCGTTGCGCTGGCCGGCGTGGCGTACTCGCGCGACATTGACGCGCTCAAGGTTGTGCACAACGCGCTGAAGCTGGACCAGGCCGTGGAGATGGACACAAGGCTGGCGAACGCGCTCATGGATGCGTATAACCGCTGCGGGGTGCCGCTGCGCGCCGTGCAGTTCTGGGAGGACGTCAAGCAGAGCCGCGAGGGGCCCGACTACCAGAGCATCAGTGTTGTGTTTGAGGCGTACGGGAACATGTTTGGGGGTGTGCAGCGGGCGAAGATACTGTGGGGCCAGCTGAGGTCGATGGGCGTGCGGCCGACGGTGGGGAATTATAGGGCGTATATTGAGGCGCTGGGGAAGGGGGGGAAGTTTGAGGAGGCGTTTGGGCTGGCGAGGGGGATGGAGATGAGGGATGGGGTGAGGCCGGATGTGAAGCTGTGAGTCGTTCTCCCTTCTTGCTACTTGGTGTTGGGTGGGCTGTTGACCCTTTGTATTGTAGGCTTGGGACGGTGTATGCGTTGACCAAATCACAAGACGTGAGGGACAAGGTTGCAGAGTGGGCCGGCGAGTCGTATCCCGCAGAGTGGAAGGAGATCGAGGCGCGGGTGGAGCAGCTGCCGAGGGACATCATGGCGCACGAGGCGCTGGAAGCGTTGGGCGGTAGCCGGCTGCAGAACTTGCTGCAGGGAAGCCAGACGTCCATGCTGGCGATCGAGGAAGGGGAGAAGGGGATTGAGGAGTTCAACCCTCCCCCCCGGTTAGGGAGCCGTGGGAGGAATAGGGTCAAAGAAAGAAAAAAAACAGAAAAAAAAAAAAGGGAAAAGAGAAAAAAAAAAGGGTGTATATGTATAGTGTAAATAATTTTTATGGGACATACTTAGGTCTGTGGGATTTCCTCCAGCTATATAGATAGCGGTTGTAGATATGCGAGTGATAAACCATGATTGACCGTAATCACCCAGCTCTGATATTTTTCGTGGCGTAGTACGGAACCTCCCCCCTTACTTTTCAAAAAGGTGAGTCTATAGTGGTTATTACGGCGCGCGAGGTTATAGACGGCGTCACGTTTGAATATTTGACGTAACCTTTGATCATATATAATCACTCGGTAGGTCCTGTCATGTGACACACAGGCGCAGAAAGGCTTTTTTTTTAACGGAAAAGGTCTAAAATGACACTAGACGTGCTCTACAATAACACACAGTTCGGTATAATCCAAACGAATACATCAGTTACATACTAAGTATATGTAGTGGCTGAGCAATGATAATACATTCAGGGCCCGTTTGGGAGCCGGGACTGTAGAAAACGCCGTTTTGCTTAGGCCTCCGTTAGTGGGGAGGGGGCGGAGAAATTTTAAAACGGAGTTTTTTTTTAAAACGTACTGTGTACTGTTTGGGAGACTGTGGTGTTGACGGTACAACGGGGCAAAATTGGGTGATGATAAGAGAGATGTTACAGTTGTGATAAGTCTGAGCTACCTTTTTTTTTTTTTTTTTTTTAAAAAAAAAAAACCTCCGTTTTCATGGGATCAAATGGGTCGCCAAACACAACCAATTTTTCTCAGAACGGAGTCTCAAGCCCCAATAACTCCGTTTCGGACCGCTCCCAAACGGGCCCTTAGTATATCGAAGGGCCGGGGGTTCAAGTTCGATCTTCATCTTGGCACACTGCCAAGCTAGCTCAAGTACCACTCCGGGCACAGCATCCACTATATATGGGCGGGTGGTCTAGTGGATATGTAGGCTGCTCGTCAACACCGAGCGTGCCCAGGATACAACCACACACACACACACATAAAGGTCCTGGGTTTCAAACCAGGGGTTTGGGGGGGGGGGGGGGGGAGGGTAGCAGTCGCAAATGGTCTTAATAAGTCGGCTGCAGTGCCCTTTTTGTAGTTTTGTTTGTTTGTACCTTTTGTCGTTTTATAGAACGCTTTATTCTTTTTTTTTTTTTTTTTTTTTTTTTACTTGTAATGACAGCGAACTGCGTCTTTTTTTTTGCATCATGTGTTACTATTTCGGAGCACGTATATATACCAAATTAACACTGTGTCATTTTAGACCCCTTTTCCGTTTTTTTTAACCATAAAGGCCGTGAATGCGTAAGTACTAAGCGTCTTCTTCTTCTTCTTCTTCTTCTTCTAATAACAAAGCGAAACCCCCCCCTCTGAGTACATACTTGTCATAAGAAGGTTGCTAGTGTAGGTAAGTTCGTGGCAGATTTGTTACATTGTATGTCTCCCCTAGCCTATGTACTCTAGCCCGCTCTGCAGTGCCCTCACTCACTCCCGTTAAATACTACTTCCCGGCCATTGACAGTTATGTGGGCCGGGGCGAGGTACATACATATATACATAGTCTAGTGGTAGACCGCCTCCTCGTCTCGTCTTGCTACACCGCACGCATGAACCGTCTGGGGTTCGGCCACCGGGGGTGTGGTGGGAGTAAATGCTCCACAGAGAAAGGTGGGTGTGTACACGCATGTACTAAACTGGGAGCAGAGTTTTTTTTAGTATTGCGAATTAGAGAACTAGGTGTAGCCAGTGAGGGGCGTATCGTATGGTCACAGCATTTACCTTTTTGTGTGTTTTATTGCCCCCCATTTTGGCCTTTTTTTTTTTTTTTTTTTTTTGAGGGGGGGTATGTGTGATACATATCGATTGGAGCTAGCCGGCCTAGTATGTACAATCGCAGATAAAAAACTATCTTAGCTTCTCGCTCATGCTCATTGTTTGGCCAATCTATCCATCTCCCCAATCCAATATCAGGGGGCCGGATGTATGTAGGATTGTAGGCCGGTTTAGCGAAAGTCTTTTTCTAGGCCATACCATATTCTTTTATAGTATTACTACATGTAGATACATAACCGTTAAGATTTACACCTACATACGGAATGGTCAGCCAGCCAGCCACCGCTGCAGAATCCCCGATTTTACTGTGGCGGGTCCCAATTAGCAAAGGAGTATTTCAAGAATTCCCGGGTGCACTGGGGGAATAGTATCCACATTCCCCCCCAACGCAGCCCCCACTTTACGCTCAAATGTCATTGCAAAATAACCAATCTCTGAACCCAGGAGAGGGTGAGGGAGCATGCAAAAGAAGAACATTCCAAAAACACCACCACCTTCAACCCCAATCAATCCACATGAAAACCCGCCACCGCGGCCGGCCGAATAACATGAGCCTTGAGATATATACTGACCAGTACAACTCGTGTCATTCAGCAATGGTAGCGAGCAGCCGGCCGGCCGGTCGGTCGGGCGAATTAAGAAAGAAAGAGAAGCACAGTAGGTGGAGTGGAGCGCGTCTTGGCGTTTTTGGGCCGTGACAGTACTTAAGGCGTAGAGAGCGGGGGATTGAACAGATGGCTTTAGTTGAAAAGGTGGTCTGAAGAGGGCTTGGCTACATGTACATACATGTGATACCCTCAACTGTGAACCGTATGTATGTAGTCGTTGGGATAGATCGCGGGCGACCCAGATAAGGCCCCCCCCCCCCCAAAGCTTGTTTCCACGTACGTTTTGGAGAGTTAATTCTTTCCTGTACCACACAGCGAATTGATACCCGCGGAGAGCACTTTAGAAAGAACAGGTTCTGCCATATATACCGCCGGGGCTCGGAGTATATGCCAGCTCTGTCTCGTGCACTCTTTGGACTTGAGGGTGATAAGCGAGTGATATTCCGTGATTCGCCATTCTCCCCGTCCGTCCCCTTTCGCCTTTAGGCACGCGGTTCAACCTCGCCAAAAAATGAACTCCACCCTAACCTACACGTATACAACTACCGCCACCAATACTACGCCGTAGTGGAGCACAAAAAAAAATAAGAAAAACTGAGAGACAAAAGACTTACGTGATGAGTATCATCCCTCAAGAGCGTCGCTACCATGTTGGGCATTCTTCATCACTGCTTCCGTCCCGGGTCGAACCGTGGACGTCATGCAACGTAGTAGAGGCTGTTACCCCTCGACCACACTACGGTGTTGTCTATAGGGCTTGGGTGGTATATAAGCGGCTGGACAGTCTGTCTGCTTGGTAGGGGGGGCTCTCTTCGGCCTGTGGGACGTGTAGGGCGTGCTAGTGCTAGTGTGGTCCGCAAGGCAAGGCGGCTCGAGTATGGTAATTGGGCTAGGCTTGAGTCAACTCATAGGCCACGCACTCTGCGGAGTGTCGGCGATGTAGCAGACGACTCATCGACTACAAGTAGCTACAGGACCGGTACACAACACCACATACTATTGCAACAGTGCTGCGATGTGGGGGAACCTGACTCCGCAGACGGGAGGGGAAGGGCGGTACACATTGTAGAGCTACATACATGATCATGACGCAGTCCCACCGCACACAAGATCCACTCCCCGAGTGATTCGCCATGATCGACACCACCACAGGACCATCTTGCTCTGGTATTCGGAGCATCTTCGCTCATTGTTTGACCAAGAATATGCCTCCTGTAGAATGACAAGGCTCCCATTGCTACATGTACATACATAAGTATACATAGACGAGGGTGGGTCAGTCATTACTTCGGATAGCCACGCCTGAGTTCAGGTCTATGGATGACTCCTCGAGTCAACATCGCTACCAGAGGTGGTGGTGACTTGTGAGTACGGATATATTCACGTGCGGCTTCTCGGTCTTAAGATGCACAAACAAAGAAGTCGGGGTCAGGCAGCTGGCCGTGCACGACGTGGGGTTGTGGGGACTCATTCCAGGATCATTTCCTCGGGACGAGTACGTGCGCCTCTACACAATAAATAGGTATCATGTACCATGTAATTGGGATGCATGCCTCGGCCGAGTGATACACCATGACCACACACCCACAACCACGCAATTTCTGTAGTTGATTCCTTCTCACTCACCCGCCCAAGCATTTATCTACTACAAAGCGGTGAATACCAAACAACTATATTTACATCCATCTATCTCTAGCCCTCAAAGATGAAACCAAGCCCGCCAAGTACATACATACCAATTCATTACAAGTGCCATACCAAACCACTCCTCCTCAAAAAGCTAAAACTAAAACTCACACCCACAACCCCCTTCCAAGAAAAAACAAAAACCCACACACAAAAAACGCACCAAAAGAAAAAAAAAGAAAAAGAACAAAAAAAAGAAGCAGTGGGAATATCTATTTAAACTACCTAAATTACCTCTTCCCGCCTCCCTCCCCCCTTCCCCCCAAACCTCCAGCCCGGCACCTACTTCTTCTTCCCAGCAAACAGCTTCTTCAGCGCATCCGGCCTCTTCTTCGCCGGGCTGATATCGCGATTAAACGCGCTGACGACAGGCACCAGCATCAGCCCCGCATCCCCGCCGTCCAGCCCCAGCCCCTTTCCCTTGCCTTTCTCCTTCTCCTGCGCCTCGATATTCATGACCAGCCGCCCCGTGCCGTCGTCTTCGTCGAAGACTGTCGGCATGATGCCTTTGCCCTTTAGCGGTTTCTCCTTCTCCTTCTCCTTCTCCTTCTCCTTCTCTTTCGTCTCCTTGCTCTTTTCTTTCTTCTCCGCTGCCGCTGCAGCAACCTTCTCCTTCTTCTCCGCCGCCGCCGCTACCGCCTTCTCCTTCTTCTCCGCCGCCGCCGCTACCGCCTTCTCTTTCTTCTCCGCAGGCTTCTTCTCCGCCGGCTTCTTCTCCGCCGGCTTCCTCGCCTTCACCGGCACCGGCAGCGAGCTCGGCGAATCGAAAATCCCCACCTCCCTCTCCCTCTCCCGCTCCACCACCTTCTCCACAACCGGCTTCTTCCCCTTCCTCTTGACCAGCTCCGGCTCGGGACTCGGCGCCTCCTCCTCCACCACCACCGGCGCCTCCACCTGCGCCGCCGCCTTCCTCTTCCTCGCCGCCCCCGCGAGCAGCATCCGCGTCGGCAACGAACTCTCCACCACCGCCGGCACCACAACACTACTCTCCGTCTCCATCCCCGCCATCGTCTCCCCCCCTGCTCCGCCCGTCGGCGTGCTCGGGTCATCACTCACCACGGCCGCCGTCTTGCGCAGGAACGGCGTGATGCTAAAGTCGCTGACCTTTGGCCCCTCCTTCCGCGGCCGCTTCGCCGAGTGCTCCAGGTCCGCCATCGTGAGCGTTGTTGTCGCGGCCGCGGGGCGCTTCTTGCTATCGTCGGCGGCGGTGGCGGCGGAGGAGGCCGGCGGGAGAGTGACCTTCTTGGCCTTTGCGAGCTTGGCGCGCGTGGACTCGAGCTGGGCGAGTATTGTTGCGTGCTGCGCGGTCAGCGCCGCCAGCTCCGACTCGGCCTTTTCGCGCAGCTTGGTTTCGCGCTTGAGCGCCGCTGCGGTGTCTTTGTCTTTTGCTGTTGCTGTTGCTGCTGGTGCTGGTGCGGGGGCCTTCCGCGCGGCGTCGAGCTCGGCGCGCAGACTCGCCAGCTGCTTCTCGAGGGCGAGCACCTCGTTCCGCGCCGCGCGCGCGTCGTCAGCGTCCTCCTGGGCGTCGCGGAGTTCGAGGCGCAGCGTGGCCAGCTCGGACTCGAGGGCGGCCTTTGTGGCAGCCTTGGAGGTAAGCGCCTTTGCGAGGCGGTCGACGTGGTCCTGCAGCTTGGCTTCGAGCGTGTGCAGCTCGGTCTTGTGGGCGGCGATGGTGGCGCGGGCGTCGGCGAGCTCGGCGGCGGCTTTGGACTCGGCGGCGGCGAGGGTGGTGTGCGCGGTGGTTTTGGAGGCGGTGAGGTCTGTGATGAGGGCTTTTGCGGAGGCATGCTCGGAGGTGAGGGTGGACAGGGCGGTGGTCTGCGTGTGGAGGGTCTTCTCGAGGTCTTTGTGCGTCTTCTCGAGGTCTTTGTGTGCGGACTGCAGCTCCTTGTGCTCCTCCGTGAGTTTCTTGTGCTCGTCCGAGAGCTTGCCGTGATCTTTCTCCGCCTTCCTTGCTTGGCTCTGCGCCGCTTTGGCGTCCCGATATAGCCCCGCTACCTCGTCCTCCAGCTCCCTACACCGGACGTTCATCTCCCCCAGCTCCTTCATCTGCTCCTCCTCCCGCGCGCCCTGCACCGTGTCCTGATCGAACAGCCCCCTGAGCTGCTCCCGGTGTGCTTTTGTGGTTATCTCCAGCTGGTGTTTGACCGCCCCCAGCTCAAGGCTGTCCTCCTCCAGCTCGGCGATGCGGGCCGCCGCGTGCTGGGCGTGCTTCTCGAGCGTCGCGGAGTAGGCTTTCTCATTGTTGTAGTCGGACAGGAGGAGCGCGTACGAGGGCTCGAGGTGGATGAGGCGGACGCGCTGCTGCCGCTGCGATTCGGCGGCTTCGAGGCGGGTGGTGGTGTGGCAGGTTTGCTCGTAGGTGAGGAGGGAGCGGGCCGTGGCGAGTTGGCGCGTTAGCTGGAGGGGTTAGTGTGTGGTTTGTGGAGGGAGAGGGGAGGGATTGAGGGAGGGGAGGGGAGCGTACATCGGCCAGCTCGAGGGCTGTGTCGCGGTCTTTGGCCGCCATTGTGGGGGATGTCTGTCTGTCTGTCTGTATGGGTATTGTGTGTTCTGTTAGGGGTAGAGAGTGTAGATGTAGATGCAGCAGAGAGAGGGAGAGTATAGACTATAGAGGGGTATAGACAGAGAGCACAGAGAGAGTATAGAGGGGCAGAGAGAGAAAGAGGGCAGAGAGAGGGCAGAAAGAGGGGGAGGGGGAGAGTCGTGATCGTCTGTCTGTGGTGTTGATGTTTCTTCAACCGCTATCGGAAGTGATCGATCTGCCGTGTTTGTTGTTAACCGACAGCCAGCGACCGTAACCGCCAATTAACCGCCCTTAACCGCTGTTAACGGCCGGGGTGCGCGGCAACCCAAGTGACCACATTGCGTTTACACACACTTTCCTATCGATAGAAGAACAAGAACCGAGAACCAAGAACACCACCGACAGACACAGAGACAAGACAATTGAAAACCCTTGAAATACACTCAATTCCACCTCTCCGCCTATCCACGAGATAGCACAATGCACATCCTCAATCCCCTCGCACTGCTGCTCTCAGCAGCTTCTCTGCTGGTGCCCACAGCCCTCGCAGCAGCTGCCTCCTCCTCCGACATCGCCGCCGACAAGAAGTTTGCAAAATTCAACGCCCTGCTCAACACGCCCAAGCACGAAGGCGGCATCCTGCAGCTCACCGACTCGCTCTACGACGACCTGACCACCGGCCCCCGAAACTACACCGCCGTCGTCCTGCTCACGGCCCTCGAGCCACGCATTGGCTGCCAGCTCTGCCGCGAGTTCGGCCCCGAGTATGAGCTCCTCGCAAAGAGCTGGGCGGCGGAGCACGCACCCACGGATGGCCTCATCTTTAGCGAGCTTGACTTTGCGAATGCTAGGACTACGTTCCAGAAGGTAAGCTCTCTCTCTCTTTCTGTCTTTCTTCAATTCATCCCCCCCCCCCCCCCTTCTGTCTGCACCCCAGCTAACACTTGTCGTCATAGCTACAACTCACCACCGCCCCCGTCCTCTATCTCTTCCCGCCCAGCGTCGGCCCCTCCGCCGACCCCGCCCACATCGACACGCCCCTCCGCTTCGAATTCAACAAAGTGCAGACCAAAGCCGAAGTCGTCGCGCGCTTCATCACCATGCACACCACGCACGCGCCGCGCGTCGTCCGCCCCTTCAACTGGGCCAAGCTCGGCGCCACCGCCGGCGCCGTGATCTTCGCCCTGACCGCGCTCAAGCTCGCGTTCCCGGTCGTCAAGCCCATGCTGTACAGCCGCAACCTGTGGGCCGCGGTCTCGCTCATCGCCATCCTGCTCTTCACCAGCGGGCACATGTTTAACCACATCCGCCGCGTGCCGTATGTGGCCAACAATGGCCGCGGGGGGATCAGCTATGTGGCCGGTGGGTTTAGTAACCAGTTTGGGCTCGAGACGCAGATTGTGGCGGTTATTTGTGAGTATTCTTTCTAGCACGGGTAGGGGGGTAGTGGCTAATTGGTGGATAGACGCAATTCTGAGCTTTGCTACAATCTCGCTGGCAATGAAGACGCCCCGCATCGAGGATCCCGCCAGACAGAAGGCTGCCATTGTTATCTGGAACGTGGTTCTCCTTGTAGCCTTCAGCTTCCTCATGAACCTATTTAAGCAGAAGAACGGAAGCTATCCGTTCTTCTTGCCGCCGTTGATGTAGAGCGGATGGTTTCGTGGTTTTATTACTTTCATTGGCAGTGGAGAGTGGAGGGGGAGGAAGAAGAAGAAGGGAAGGAGGGAGGGGAAAAAAATGTACTTGTAGGCTGGGGAGAAGAGGGGCTAGAGATATGTATGTGCAGAGTGTAGAGTGCAGGATAACTAGGGCCGGGTTTTGAGGGGGAAATATGATATCAGGATGACGGCGAGGGGAACCCTAAAAAATTGAAATATGTTCTTGTCTCTCTATGTAGATCTCTCTCTCTCTTTCTCCACAGTACCGTACATATGTAGCTCGGTACTAGTGGACAACTGTTATTTAGTCATGACACATCACTCGTGTGTGCCAAGAGCGGGTGCAGAGGCCGGGTAAGGCTGGGCAGCGGGTGGGGCTTTTTAAGGGCCCCCGCGTGCCCCTCTGCTCTTCTGATCCTCTTCGTCATCATCCAATCGCACCCGGTTCTGCAACCTATGGCTTAGTTCTAGCTATTTTTGAATCTATGGACGAACAGCTTAGCTTCTAACTACTACAGCATGTAGTAACTAAGTACTGTGTAAGTCCATCAATCTAGCTCTATTTCTACTGTCCTCTCCCTCAGTTAACCCCCCCCCCCCCTTCCAATTGGAACGTCCCCACTCCCGCAAATTGCAACCCACCTCATACCCGCCCCTTCAAGCTCTATTCCCTCCCCCGCCCAAAAAAAAAAAAAAACCGCGCCCTCTTTGCATCTGCCGGCCCAATTTTCTTCCCATTGAAAGTGGCAGATTCACTCTTGGCGCGGAAATCATACACGCGGCGTGCGTTCTGCCCGGTGGGGGCACGCTGAAAAACCCCTTCCTTGGTCCCTCGCAGATTTTTTTTTCTTCGGTGCTGCGGGGTTTTGATGGGAGGTGGGGTGTCGCGGACATTTTCATATGCACTCTTTCTGCTTTGTTTTTTTGCTTTTGTGCTGGCGGGGGTGGTGAGGAGTTTGCGGATTTGAGAGGGAGCTGGAGCTAACGTATTGGGCTCAAGATTTAGACCTAAGTGGAGAATACTTGCGGGCAGTATGGTATGGCAGCTTGGGGACCGGATGTTGCGGGGTCTGGTGGTTGGGGTGTAGAGGGCTCAAAGACTCCCGAGTCTTTCTTGGCTCTGTGTAATTAGGGCACTCGAGCCCAGTGGTTTTAATTTAGGAGCGAGTCGAAACGCTTATATTGGAAGAGATCACCCGGTGGTTTTGCGATACGGATTTGGTCGAGATACTTGAATCGATATCAGAGCCTTGACTAAAGCCGGACACAAACTCACCATATCCCACCTACGTCAATTTCTGGCCCAAGGTTTTTGGCCCAAGGTTTTTGGGGACCGTTGTTTTGGTCACGTTGGTTTAAATTAATTTTAGATTTAGATTTGCCTCTTTCTGGTTTGTTTGGAGCTGGTTAGTGTCGCAGTTTGTACTTTGCAGATACAGGCAGTATATATGGGCTCATTGCATAAGTGCTGGGCTCTCGGGGTATTTTGTGTGGCGTGTTGCGTTGGGTGGTTATCGGTGTTGAAAGAATAATAGTTTTGGGAATCATACTTTTTTTCTAAAATCTTCTGGGTCATGATCTTGTCACTCGTAGTGGTGTGCTACAAACATAAGGGAGATTTTCGATTGAGATTTGATGAGAGCTACCAACGATCAGATCATGATCTAAAACCGAAGCCACTGTCCCTGGTTCAATTTGACCAATAAAGGCGGAGAAGGACGTGGCTCCATAATAATTGTGGTTATACCATTTCCTCGTTCTTTTCTTTGTTCGTTTTGATTTCATACTTGTTTCCCCCTTCCAATGCATTTTTGCCCATATTTAGAAGCTTTTCCTAAAACGGAGTTTACAAACTGTAATTATCATCATGAATTCTCACTCGGTGACACTTATGGGAAAAATATGATTCGGATTCATACTCGCTAACCCTAGGGTTTAGGGAATAGCCAAGCATAAAAATTCAATGGAGTGTGCACATCTTAAACATACGCCAGATCCACAGAGTGATAATCTATGATACGCAAATGGCCAATCGATAGCTTTTTTTAACTGCATATACTCTGCATGTAGCTAGGTGCCCAGTTAAAATCTTGGAATTGCAATGGCTATAGTCTAGTGCACGGGAATTCAAGGCCGCGTCTACTGAAACATCCCTACATGAGTGAGAAAGAGATGCTCAACTTACTTGGCGACTAGCTCAATGACGTCGATCGAGCAGACTCCCGTCATGCGTCTCTTGGGATTATTTCGCGGTACACTGGGTTTTTACCACTTCTTTTGCTGCAGGCAGTAAGTACTTGTTCGCCAAAAACATTATTTGCCCCAATAGCCTGGCTCTAACCGTACGTATGCGCACGATAGTTTGAGATGTCTTCTCCAGTAATGGTTTGAAGCAGTTTCCTGCAGCTGGCAGTATATTCGGGTGATCGGCTGGCCCACGCTTGTGATAACGTACATGTATCTATCTATTCATATCGTACCCAAATGTCTATGGTCTATGCTTCTTGTGGTATTTTAACGCATGCAGGTATACATTATGTATGTAATTATATAAACACAGAGAAATGGAGAGTCAGAGAACCCGAGTGGTCTGTTTCTGTCTCCAAAAGAAACATTTACACATGTCCTCCCGGTTTTATGAAGAGCGGGGTTGATATTGTACAGTCGCATGCATCAAGTTCTCGCCGTTCACGATGCAACACCCAACCTCAATACTCGTTACTCAACCACAAGTGAAGATATTTAATAGAGAATACATAGTAGAGTTAAATAGAATATAAAAAAAATTATTTTGAGACTACCATCCCATGTGCCCTCCATTGGCTTTGAGACATGCCTCAACCCTTAATGGCAATTTATCTAGCTTTGATTGAGACAATGCCTCCCACTCCTCTTGTGCAGCGATAAAAGGTTCATCATCACGATGAGGTCTTCTCTATCTATATCTTCATTGCCCTTTTAGTTCACTCTTGAGCATTTTCCATGAATTTTCTATGGTGTTGAAATCTGGTGATCCAGTAGGCCAATCCTCCTCCTAACTGGACAGTTTGTATCTTTATTTATCTGTACAGTATTTCAGCCTATTTTATGGAGAATAACAACAGCTTGCCACTTGTCATATCCTGAAGCTTTTGCAGAGTTCGTGGTGGAGTTGTTATGGTTTGACTCACTATTAAAAAACGGCGGGAACTTGTTGCATGCGACTGTACCATCACCCACAACACGCCCCTCATTCATACAAAGAATCGCCGTCAATAAGAGGGGGAGGAAAACCCTCTAGGAAAGAATTGGCGTGCTTATTGACGAGCTGAGAACTGGCGTATTGAGTGAGACGGGCCGAGGCTGGATTGCCTTATCTTTGTCACCTGTCAATTCAGGCGTTGTTGAGCTCAGAGTTTGAAGGTATGAGTGCAGCTAGTCAGTCATATAGATCTATAAAGTTGTAAATACACACCTCTATAATGTGGCTGGTCTGTGTTTTATTATTATAGGCGGTCATGTTATTTAGTAAATTGATCGAAAAAGCGTGGAAGGTATGTATATTGGGCGTCTTAAAGTTTTTATAAGGCTGCAGCGGCTGTAGTTGTTGCGGGGTAGAGGGGGTATATTTTGGGTACCATGGAAATTCCCGTAGAGTACGCTGATTATGATCGCATATATAGATAGAACGGTTATCTGAACGCAGTTGTTTGTGGTGAGATATGAACTTCCAAAGTTATTATTTCGGCTAAAATGAAGTTAGGATATCTTGGCATTTTTATCTCATGTTTCGAAATTCCACAACTAGTCCTTAATTCAATCTAGGACACGCACTGCACGCTCAAACAAACGTAGGATATCTATGGTGGGCGGGCTTTGATTGGTACACCTTCAAGACCAGCCGCTACATACGAGATTTCGACGAGTCTTAGTGATAAAAGTGACAGTGTGTCCAAGACAAGGAGATATTTTCCTGGTTTGGTGTTTGAAATGATCGGAGGGTAATGGTTATATTGATTATAAGGCCTTAAGAACCAACGCAATTATGTATGGTATGGTAACACCAGGGCAACCGCTTGTAGTAAAATATTAGTAGCCGGTGTCTCAGATTTGGGGGGGTAAGGGGTTGAGTTTGCTGCACCGTGGTATAACTATTATGTCAGCTCTTGCCTTCCCCGGGCCCGGCAATCTAGCCGCAATGACATCCTTAGGCCTTTGATTGAGCAGTAGCTAATCGGTACCAAGCTTATTCTCGAACCAAACAAACCTCTTTCCAAAGATCAGGTTGGCGATATGATGGGCTGAAAGCTACTCTACAGAAATCGGCCAGCAGAGTAGGTACATGGTTCTGCATTTGCACTCTATATCGCGCCATTGCCTCTCATTATTTCTCGCTCGCGTAAAATATACGCTTCCGTCCCGTCGGGGCTCCAATAATAGTGCTTTGGCCAAGATGGGCAGCGTTAGGTATAATCTGTTTATCGTCAGGGACCCTGTTGGTGCTTGCTGTGCTGGCAAACAGGGGATTATCAAGAGAAGATATCGATATATTGAATGTCCGCGGCCTGGTTCGATATCAGAAGCACATACGTACATGTAGTCCTAATAAACGATTGTTCTGGGCCACGGGTAAGGGGGGGGGGGGGCTCCCGGGCATGTAGTTGGGCGGTGCGTTCTATTGATTTAAACATAGATATGCGAGCGAGGTATAAGATAAGGATGTAAAGTACTCCTACTCTATAGAGCAAAGATACGTACTTTCTAAACATGGATACTGAATGTAGAAATCTAAAGTGCACTAAACGTAAGAGAGTAGTCGAGAGTCGCCGAATCCATCCACAGGTATTTAGAGTCGTCCGATATTTTGATCAAGTGTGGAGTTTGCCATTGGTTTTCTGGGGCCTAGCTGCCATGTCGATCCACTATCAGTGCACCAGTTACTATCATAATATGCAATAACCCATATGGCCATGCCCAAGCTGAAAGAATTGGTGTAAATATCCCGCGGCGGTTTGCCTACCAATTCAGAGCCTCGTCTGGATTTTTTTTGTTTTTAGCCTTGCTGTGTTTGCTTTAAGATTTGAGTAATATGTAGGGCATATGCAAGAGTAGGGTTGAACTTAAGAGGCGTCGTTGGAAACCTTAGGAGGCGTACGTTGGAGATATTGGATGTAACTACTTTGTAGTGAGAGTTCGCTTACGGGCCATGGCACAAGGCCTCGGGATTGTGTGACCAGATAAGTGCAGTACCGTATGTACTCAACTCTAACTGTAGGGTGCCCTATTCTACAGGCACAGAACTCCCATATATCAGCCGCAGTAAGTACCGTGTGAGGGGAGACAGGACGTTACTCGCCAAAGTGCCAAAGTGCAAAATCCAAGGGTAAAGCGCCACTTCTCAGGAACCATAGGCAGATTGGGTAAGTTCCTCGATTAGTTAGGATGCATGGCATATGAAGGGGGAAGGGCCTGCTGCAGACGGGAACGTGGCTAATAGAAAAACCCCCGATGTGGGGCTGTCTCATGCCCCCCCACGACACCCACAAACGTTCCCTATCAATGGCGACCCATCATCATCGACAGCTGCAACAATACCGGTACTTATCTTTTCTAACAAATCGTCACCAGCATATACGGTAGAACGATCGAAAGTCTTTTGTTCCCTTCCACACCCACAAAGGTGACACGAGATGGAAGATGACAGATAGGAGGTGGGGCAGGAAATATCGGTTTTATTCTATTTTGGGGACGGATACAGACACGCGGAGGATCCAGGGGTCAAATACTTGCGCGCAGGCAGTAAATAAGTGTTACGCTGTGTACCCCCAAGTAGGCAAGAAATCTAGAGAAGCAATAGTGGGGCTACTGGGACAATACATGTATGTACATGTAAATACCTATGTAGACGATATATAGTCTCGTGCCTAGAGTATGGTGTTGGTCTTCAGCAAAGTAGATGATTAGATGTAGTAGAAGCTGGGAAACAACACAGACAGGGTAGAGACATTTACCTGCTACTTGATAATTGTATAGTATTGCCCAAAGATCTTGGCTACCGATTTCTCGGATTGCTTCATCAATGTGGCACCGTAGTACCGGACCGCTCTCTAGGTAGCCTATGAGAGAGACAAGGATTCAGGACTCAATATACTCAAATACATGTATGTAGTTAATTTACATAAATGTACTCTTTGGGGTAACCATTTTGAGAAAGGTGCAAAAAAAAAAAAAAAAAAAAAGTTTAGCTTCCCGAAGCTAACTTCTGTTAGGAGTTCTGGATCCTGACGGCACATCATTCACATTTGATAACTATAGGCCCATATGTGGGTCATGGAAATCTGTCCTAGGTCCTGACCTCCCTACTATCAGACCTTATCCCCAAACTCGTGTCCCGCTCCTTCTCTTTAGCTTCTTTTCTTCAACCCTCCCGCATCCCCATCATTCGGGACCTTAATGCAGGACCGATATTACCTTGCATGTTTTTTTCCCTCCCTCTCCCTTCAACACATCTTTTCTCTGTTACAGTTGAGTAATTGAGGGAATCTGCCCTTGTCAATCTTTCTTTCCGACACCGCCGCTCATTCTACGGCACCCCTGTGTTCAAACTTCAATCTAAGAAGCTTAATCTTCCCTTCTTTCTTTCTCGAGATTCCATCTCTGAAAAACAAAACCTCAATAGCATATATCATCTCCAGCATAAGCTGCACCTGTGCACAAAGAGCTTACCAGACTAGAAAATAAGAGATATCTATTGATATCCTCAAGACGGCATGGAAGGAACCCACACCCCCTCCTCACCGACAACAACTTTCACTCACCGCTCGGGGGAGACTACATCGTCATCTGAAGATTCCATCGGCCCAGTATCGGGCACAAGGGCCCCATATTCATATGAATCCCGTCCCTTTTCCGTGCCAATGTCACAGCAAGGCTCGACAACCGGATTCTCCTCATCCATCGGTTTGAATGTACCACAGAGGTACTTTCACTCTCGCCGTGTAAAAAAAGGTGAAGTATCACAGCCATGGCTAGCAAAGAAGGATCCTCGCGAGAAATGGGTTACGATTATTCCGTGCATTGGATTGTTCTTCGGATTGGGGATTGCAGGGATCTTGATCTGGCATGGGATTTCGAGTGTAGTTAATCACAAGTATTGTCCGGTGTTGATGGAGGATTGGAGTAATGGCTTCAGAGAGGAAATTTGGTCCAGAGAAGTTCAGGTCGGGGGTTATGGGTGGGTTTATGAAATTTCTTTATATATCAGTGTTTAATATTTCTAACATCTTTTTTTTTTTCCTTCTAGAAATGGGCTGTTCGATTACACTACAGACACACCTGAGAACTCATTTGTCGGGGAGGATGGTCGCCTCCATATTCGACCAACACTTCAGGACGAAAAGCTCATCAACACCGATAATGTACTCAACCTCACTGCTATGGGTATCTGCACATCTGCTATCCTAAAGGACTGCGTTATAGCAACAAATGCCACCAACCAAACCATCATAAACCCTGTAAAATCCGCACGAATCCACACCAGAAAGAGTGCCTCCATTAGATACGGCCGTGTCGAAGTCCGTGCCAAACTCTCCAAAGGCAAATGGCTCTGGCCTGCCATCTGGATGATGCCTGTCGAAAACACATATGGAGCCTGGCCGAGGTCCGGTGAGATAGATATTGCCGAGTCCCGCGGCAACAACTGGCAATATTCTCAGGGTGGTAATGACATTATTTCTTCTACGCTACACTGGGGACCTGATCCGGCCAATAATGGATGGTGGAGGACGAACGTCAAGCATAGAGCGCTCCACACAACATATGCGGACAAGTATCATACATTTGGGCTGGAATGGAGTGAGAAGTATATCTTCACATATGTCGACTCGAGGCTCTTGCAGGTCCTCTATACAAACTTCCAGGAGCCCCTTTGGAAACGTGGGAACTTTCCAATTGCTAGCCAGAATGGCTCTAGATATATCGATCCTTGGTCACAAACTGGCCACCCTAGCACTCCATTCGACCAGAAATTTTACCTTATCCTCAACGTAGCCGTTGGTGGCACCAATGGGTGGTTCGAGGATGGGAAAGACTTGAAGCCTTGGGTTGATGGCAGCCCGGGTGCAAAGAAAGATTTCTGGGATGCCAGAGAAGAGTGGTATTCTACATGGGAGAACAACGGTGATATGATTGTTGACACCGTCAAGATGTGGCAACAATGCGATTGAAAAAGAAAAAAAAAGAAAAAACCCTATGAGTGTTGATGATTTCCTGTTTACGGGTTTACTAGCTATTTTATACACGAAGGATACGAATTATCTCTTTTTGTTTGGGAAGTCTTTTTCTTTCCTATATTGATAGAGGTTTCTAGGTGCTTTCTTATCTTTTAATTTCATCTTTTTGCGTAATGTCAGGCTTGAACTTTTACATAACTTACATACAGCCGGGCATGAACATTAGGCATCAGTATCTAGGAGGAATATATGTATTTTTGCTACCTTATTTGTACTTGCATCACAGATATGTACTTGATCAGCTTTAACTACCACTACGTGTAATGTTTGAGCCTATTCTTCCTTGTGCGAGGGATTCCACATGTGCCTCTATAGCCATCATTACCGGGTCTATGGGGTGTTATTAGAGCTTCCTACCTACTGGGGTATTTGCTAGGAATGGATATTTGATTTCTTGTATCACATCGTTATTCCCTGTTTGTTGTGCGACTCTGTTTTTTTGTATCGGCAATCTTTCTAGTGGTGGTATGTATTAAAGCTAGAGCAGATAATCATATAATTAACAACCAATAAACAAAGACTAAACGACGATTTAGCGAGAATTTGAGTGTAGGCTCTGGATCTGTAAAGTACATGTACATGGAGCTCATCTCAAGGTGGGACTAAAGCAATTGAAAAAAATCCTCCTAGATGGGAGTTATATGGGCGTTTGGCGCATGTATCTGGCTGCATGGAGACGGATGTACAAAACTTTCGGTGAATATTGATCGTTTAGGCGGCTTGCCTATAGCACAGATTATATGAACAGTCTGGATACACAGCTGAGGATTGAGTTTTTTAGTACAGTAATGCACGCCTGGCTACGGACAGGGTTTGGCGAGTCGTTGTAAGGGCTACGCCGTCGACGCACAGTCTGAATAACCTTTCCACTTCGTCTGGTAGCAAGGGTACAAAGCATTTGTTTCTCACCAACGGATAGTTAAGGCCAACAACAGGTACCAACTAACGCAATCAAGCCATTTAGTTATCTGAGATTCAAGTTGATTTGGATTCATCCCCTCTGAGTCTTAAGCCATATTAGGGGCATTTTGAGGTAACGACGAAACAGCTGGTCGAACGTCCAACAGGGATATTTGGGAAATAGTGGAGCATATGCCGATATCTAGTCGATTGATTGGCTGAAACCTGAATTTTTATCGTTGTTCTAGGTTTGTCACTGCTCCGAAATCGATTGTATCTATAGGTACAGTCTAGATGCCAAACAATGTTAGACCGAGTAGATATGTGACTCAAGTATATAGATAAATTCCTAAGAGAATAAGTATAGCAGTCAGGTCACTTACTCACAATTGCAAGGCATAATGATATTTTCCTTTTAGTTTTCTTGTTATGCCGATGTTGCGGGTACTCGCTGGTTGGCCGAGTATCGATGTCGCCATAGCATAGCATCCGTAATTGCAGTGTCTTACATTGTTGGTCGGTAGAGCCGGAGCATGGCATATGTCAACTCGTATATCAAGTACCTACATCGCAAGACCAGTCTCGTTACACTTGTATTTTCCTTTTGTCTGTGCTAGAGTATACGTATTGGTCCTACTAGATATCACCAGCTCAGGTCAGTGACTATGGTATGGTCATATTTGATGATACACACCTGCATATATAATAAGACCGGCGTGAATATTTCACCAAATGAATGACTGCATCGTCTGGGATTTGCACTTTAAAAAGCTTGTAGTTACTTCACTGGGACTGGTGCCCATTCGCTCGCTCCTGGGGATGCCAGGAAGTTAAAACTCTTCGATATCGGAACTCAAGTTTGGTGGATGGGAAATGACGCGGAGTAATGTGGAAGATAGGAAACAACTCTAGTGTTTTCAGGGTTGCGAGAAGAAGCACATGCCAATTGATATGATGACTCCCCGGGTGGCTGGACTTGACTCGGATTACATGTAGTTTCCGATTTTTCTTATTTTTATACGGATATTAATTAAACCTTAAGACCGCACTGCCACCAAGTAGTTAGTGCTCTAATCACACTCGACATTTGTAGGCTAGTTGGCTTCATATTTGCTTTTGCTCCTTTATCAACAATAGCTTCCTCGCGGTAAATTCGAGCTCAACGCAGCGAAAATCGACATTAAACACGATATTGCTGCAGTAATTGAGGGTTTGATATATCATGGAACACGATAAACATACAGAAGCTCCTTGGTCTCATCAGATAGGGTGCCCGAGAACGATGCTATAGAGCACATACACTTCCTCCATCGTACCATTGCCGCATGAGACACCTCATTACCATGGACCCAGAATCCCGATAGATACTTCGTGTTGGAGATAGACAGCATACTTTAGCGCTTTAAGCCTATGTTTATACATTATCCATAATTATATAACCTTATCTCAAGCAAAGAGAGAGATAAATGTACGTACATGTATGTATATGTCTCTATCATCATTTCTCGGGCTATCCGATACAGACGTGTACTAAATCTAGTGTATTGTAGTCCCAGCTACCGGGAAACATGCATTGAAGCATAAAAATCACTATAAACATAGGCGACCTGGATTCTGGAAACAATCATTGTGACCTGCCGATCTAGAATCGAGCATGTATATAGCATTTTCTGGTTTTAGGATCCGGCCTAGCTAGGAGCATGCATGTCATGTCCTTCTATGACTTTGCCTCGAGTGAGGCATATTGACCTCGTGGTATGGGGGCCTGTTTCATTCTCGTTGAGGGCATGCTTCAATCTCGTGATGTGCACCAGTGGTGCCTTACTCTGAGGTCCGTAACGTTCTTTAGAGTGTAGATATAGGTGACAAAGCTAAATTTATATAAATATATGCTGTAGTGGTATTATACGTAGCCACAGCCAACAGATTCTTAGGGTGAATAAGGTTCACCTTATCAATTTTTTCTACATAATTTTTTAGAATTACACCAGGCCGCTCAATTCCGTTTTCTGGTTATTTGTGCTGTGCTGAATACACTTTATAGTATTATATCTTATCCGTCAGCTCTAACCCTTGGGCTAAAGTATACTTTAATTGGGGCCAGCGAGCTCGAGTCTCGCAAAGCCCACTGGCTAATATAAGTCACATTAATGGAGGAGCACCTTTTAACTCCTAGATATGGATTCAGTGAGGCAAACATCGTGCTACTGCCTTCTGCTTTCTCGTGGTATATATTACAAGGTGTATTTGTGGGCACCTTGTCTTGATATTGTAAGCCAGGTAACCCTACACAGAGGCGTGCAGTCACTTTATTTTCTCCCCTACATGACCTTAGCGAGCTGAGATCTACTAATTAACTACATACTACCTATATCGATAAAGCCGCCTATAATTTATTTGAGAAAAAAAACAAAAAGGTCGCTTATTCGCAGCGAATGCACCTCTACGATCAATAACAATTGCATTTTGTGAGGCTGATATATCTTGGAAATTCGCGAATTAGGATCCTAGTATTGATCTAGAGCGAGGCGTATTATTATTTTCCTTATGTTTTCTTTCCCGGTATCTGTTCGCTCCGCTCCGCCTGTAGAGTAGGCCTTACCTGGGCCACTATCTGGTACTTCCCATATCAGCCTGTGTGTGCCTGGCGCCGTTCAGGCACGTTGCTCAAGGAAGGCCGGTGCACTATCACGAATCCAGTAGCTCACAACTGAACGTCGGGATAAGGTTGGGAATAGCTGGCGTACCAATCCTAATTCAGAAACTATCTATCGGCGCCCGGCCGGAAACGCCGTCTGGTCTAAAGCGCCAGCAAAGGCCGCGAGCGGGGGGTTGGATAGTAGGTTAATTGTGAATTCACGAATTAGCGAAATACTACATGCATGTAGTATACTGCCAAGACAAAACAAACACATTATTGCAACGTAGGAGTACGTACGGGTAGCTATGAGCAGGAGCATCAATATTCTTAGAGCAAAACATTCAATTGCAATTGATAACTTGAATCAAAACCGATCTCTCTTGGCAGCTTAGTATAACCGCGGCTAGAGGAGTGTTGCTTGACATCTTTTCGAATCCCTCCTGCTCCTTGCGGGCATCACGTCCCCAATCCCATGCAGCGACAGGGACCAACAATGGGTAATATTGATACATGATACCTATACGAGAAGATCATATCATGGGAACACAAAGTCTTCGCCTTTGGGTCACAGTAGATCGAAGAAGTAAGTCAAGCACAGCACAATCTGGCCGACTCTTTTTTCTACATAGGGCAGGTATGTACCAGCTATATATCCTCTTGCATGGGGAGATGCTGCTGCTGCTGCTGGCCGTCAAATCGCCCTGTTGCCACTCTGAAAGTTGTTTACTGCCGTCGCACAGTGAATCTAATATTCCTAATGCATTTTTCGGCTTGCTGTTTGTCTCAGTTTCTCGGGAGCCTGAGAGGTTTCGGGGGAGACAAACATCGTGTCTTTGTTAAACAGGAAGCTTGTGTTACCATGCCCTGTTAGTATTTGTGAAAGGTCAGGACCATATTCAAGAAAGGCCCGATCTAAGAGGTACTTCTGGTTATATCATGGGTGATGGGCACTTGATCTCAATCTAGAGTAATTTAGTTTTGTGAGTGTTTGACCCAATATCCCTAGTTTAGGTGTGACTCGCACCCTAGTTACGGCACCACTAGTAAATAAGGTAATCGTACAACAACACGTATTTTGAATAGAATTGCTCCAGCAGTAGAAACTATGAGTCCAAGGCTGAGAATTCTAGCCTGCACCGATTCAAGTCCATGCAGACCACATATGTACATATGTAGCTATAGCGGCACACACACACACCTTTTGTAAAACTTGTACTCCCAGGTCAAATAAACTCACTATGCAGCGCGCCGTGACCCATGTAAGGAAAAAGAACTAAGTAAATGAACCCCCACCCGTCTTTGACTTATTCTCGCTTCTCTTTCCCTTCATCTTTCGATTCTCAACTCCCCACTCTCGTTAACCTCTCTAGATCTGATGAGACAAAGCTGAGATATCATCTAGCATTTGATTGTCCATCCTCGACAAACTATCTGATATCAACTTTCCTTTACTGCTCCCAGAGCAGAAGGGAAATAAGATAGATAGAGCTGCTCCGTCTTTTCACCCCACTATCCTTTCATCATCACTCTGTCCTTCCTCCTTTGACTCAATTCCCCGCTACAAAGATCTCACAGATATTTCACCCACGAGTTGGCTTATCGGGAATTCTTTCTTTTATAGCATAATCCTTGTTAGACCTTCACCCATCACTCGTTTTTCCAAAAAGCTCTCTCTTTACATCTCAATCGACAACACTCACTTAATATAAACTTGCACTTAAAGAAGGTCCTCTTGGGCCTCCATCTGCACAATGGGTTTGAAGGACTACTTTCGTGCCAAACCACCAGTCGTGGCTTCTGCAGACCCTCCTGCTGTTCGTCAACAGCCTTTAGATGATTTGGAGCTCCGGCCACCGTTCATGCCAGGCTCTGGGTCTGGGTCCACCTCTGGGGTGGGGTCTTCTAGGTCTTCAGCATTCATGATTGACGATATAAAGCATGAAGTTATGGTGAACTATCTACACCAACAACAGTGCAGCAATCTCTGGATCAACCCCAATGCTGCCCCTGGTGAGAGCGGCGGTGATGAGGGGGTATTGCTAAGGAAAAGCAAAGGCCATTATATAGCTTGTCCTGTGTCTTTGAGCAATAGCCTGTTTACAGAGGCTTGTGTAGCACTAAACGTCCATGTTAGTTCTTCCCTTCCTTTATTTTCAACAAGTATATATTCACTTACTAACAACTTTAATTTATTCTTATCTTTAGGTTGCTATGACCGTTAGTTCTCGAGTTATCAAAACATTTTTACAGTGGTCTCCAGACGCTGTAGATGTCCCGCTTATGAACGGTCTACGCATTCAAATCATCCCTACAATTTCTGATCTTCCACGTGCAAGAAAGTACCAATTCGCTGCCTTCATTGCTAAGGATTCGCTCTTGGTGGTTTGGGACGATGACCCGCTCAACATTATTACCAGAGCCAAATTCATTGAAAATGAGCTCATGGCCTTAGTATGGAAAACCCCTGAAGCGCTAGAAGAGGAAGCAGCAAAGGAAGAGAGACAGTTGGGTGTACAAATTGAAGAGATCATTGATGAGGAATCCGGACAAGTATCTGGATACCGCGAAAGAAGGCCCACAAATCTTTTGAATACCATCTTGGTTGCTTTTACTTTGGCCCTTGTCATCACAACATTGGGTGCTGGGTATAGACAGATAGGCATAGAGGTTGCGGTCGATGGTAACATGCTGAGACTTGCATTTATTGCTTTGTCACCCATTCAGGTTTTCTTCACATTGGTAGCTCATCTTCCCTTTCAGTCCCATTCGGTGGAATTGAACTTTGCTGATTCGTGGAAATAAAAAGTTTTTCGCTCAAGTAATCGTCGGTTGTCTTGCCCAGTGTTTTGGTCCTGTTTCCCAGTTAACAGAGAACTCCAAATATTATTCGGCAAACCCTCCACAACGCATCAGAACCGGAGTCCTTCCACACATAACCATCCAGTGCCCCGTATACAAAGAGGGTCTTCAAGGTGTTATTGCGCCTACAATAAAATCTATCAAGCAGGCAATTAGCACTTATGAGCTCCAAGGAGGCACGGCAAATATTTTTATCAATGACGACGGCCTTCAGCTGTTCAAAGAAGAGGAAGAGCACTTACGAAAGGAGCGCATAGACTTCTATGCTGATCACAATATTGGCTGGGTCGCAAGGCCAGGCCACGGCAAGGATGGCTTTGTCAGGAAAGGAAAATTCAAGAAGGTATGTCTGAGGTTTCCTGACGTCGAAATAAAGTGTTTTGTCTTGAAGCCACTCCTGCGCGGTGGTCTTTGCTTCGTTTCCATTGTAAATTCTAGACCACTCTCGTCCTATCATAATTTTTGTAGATGTCTTAGCGCACCACCCTATTTTCTTTTTTTTAGTCACTTAATAGGCTGAATTTCTTGGCAACGCATGTCGATCAATTAGCTGACTCAGCTAACTCTACTAAAGGCCTCCAACATGAACTTCGGTCTTATGATTTCTTGTAAGGTCGAGGAAAAGCTCGAGTTAATTGAACGTGATGTTGAATGGAATCAGGCCAAAGAAGCCCAAGCTTATGAAGAATGCTTAAAGGAGGTCCTTGATGAGCATGGACGTGCCTGGGCTGATGGGAATATCCGTGTCGGCGACTATATTTTGCTCAGTGAGTACACCCTATATATATAATTTGTTATTTAGATTTAACTAATAAACGATATCTCAGTCGACTCTGATACACGTATTCCTTCGGACTGTCTTCTAGATGCCGCCTCTGAAATGGAGCACTCGCCTGAAGTCGGCATTATGCAGTACTCGTCTGGCGTTATGCAAGTTGTTCATAACTACTTTGAAAATGGCATCACATTCTTTACGAACCTTATCTACACTGCCATCCGTTATACAGTTGCCAACGGGGATGTTGCGCCCTTTGTCGGCCATAATGCGATTTTAAGATGGTCAGCCATTCAACAGGTTTCCTACCAAGATGAAGATGGCTACGATAAATTCTGGTCAGAATCCCACGTTTCGGAAGATTTTGACATGTCTCTACGTCTTCAGTGCTGTGGATACACCATCCGTCTCGCGGCTTATACTGGCGAGGGTTTCAAAGAAGGCGTATCACTTACTGTGTATGATGAGCTAGCCCGTTGGGAAAAATATGCGTACGGATGCAACGAACTTCTTTTCCACCCGATAAGATTCTGGCCTATTCGGGGACCTTTCACCCCATTGTTCCGCAGATTTCTATTTTCGAATATCCGGATGACTTCCAAGATCACCATCATCTCGTACATTGGCACATATTATGCTATTGGTGCTGCCTGGATCATGACTACTGCAAATTATTTTGCAATCGGATGGTTTAACGGGTATCTCGACAAGTACTATATTGACTCATGGAAGGTGTGGTTTTCAATTGTGATTGTCTTTAACCTCCTCGGAAATGTTGCGTTGGCTATTATGAGGTATCGCATTGGGGAAAGAACCTTCTTTTATGCTCGTAAGTGAGATGTATTTCGTTTGAAATTTTTAAAATTGTTACTAACCAAAGTCTTAGTCTTTGAGAACTTCAAATGGGTTTTCCTCCTTGGAATCTTCCTTGGTGGCCTCTCTCTGCATGTTTCCCAGGCATTATTAGCCCACATGTTCGAAATCAACATGACATGGGGCGCTACAGCCAAGGAAATCGAGTTCTCAAATTTTTTCATCGAGGTTCCTAAGGTACTTAGGCGTTTCAAATTCTCATTTGCCTTCTCGATGTTTGCAATTATTGGCATGATCGTTTTGGCCACTAGCGACTTTGTACCTCACGACTGGAGAATCAAAGATTTCGTCGCGATATTACCAATGGCCACGGTTGCTGGAAGTCATATGTTACTGCCGATCGTTTTGAATCCGGCACTAATGACATTCCAATGGTAGCCTTTTCATTACCTTTATGGGATTCATGTGATATGATAATGTTCATGGTGACGTGGGTGCAGTTTTATATATTGTCTGGGGGGAAACGGTCCTAAACTTACATACTTATATATCCAACCTTTTTCTTTCATACAATAATTCTCAGAGCACCCTTTTCCTTAATTTCTCTTTACCTCTAATTAAAAATAGAAACACACGGCAAGATTTTAAAGGATTGTTATGGCTTTTACATATTCTAATTTTCTTTCTTAACTTGGAGCACTCTTTTTTTGCCTTTGGCGTCGTACTAATTTCATTTGTTGCTTTGTCCTATCAAGATTCACGACACATATATACAGTAGGATGCTAGCAAAACCTTTCTCTTTGTCCTGGGGTTTCTTATTCCACGGCTTGGTGTATCTGAACTCGAAAAGAATAATGTTTACAGCCAGAAATCAACCGAAATTCGCAATATTATATGCTTGTCAAGCCTAAGTCTGGTTAGGATCAAGATTCTGATATCTTTTTATGATGACGTCTGTTTCACGAGAACTTGACTGCTGTATTGAAATATTCCATGGTCCTATTGTCTGCGCGGACGGTGGGGGTCTGAAATATATTGCCAAGAGTTGAAGATCTAATAGTAGCATTCCCCCGCGGCCCCGTCTAAGTAGATAAAGGGATTTTACAGGACCAGTACATACATCTAGCTAATAAGAATAACGATAGAACCCAAACCCTCTTCAGTATTCTGGGACTTTGGTTTCACTTCAAGGCCTTGAGGAGGTATATCATTTCACTGCATGCAGCTGCTAAAGTATATAGGTTGAGAGGGCTATCTCAACGGATACTTACGTAAATAAAGTCTTCCAAACTATCAACGGCAAATAACTATATTGAAATAGCAACCGTATGTCTAACATCATTCTAAATAATGTTATTAATATTTCTTTGGTTTATGTACTAAAACACCTGCATCTTAGAGGTGTTTCCGATGGAACACCCCGCCCAGAAGGAACGATAAAATATAGGGCGAGTTGTAAACTTAAATAATAACAATCATTTGATGATGTCAATCTACAAAGAAACACTACAAACAGCTCATTCCATACCCGATATTTCAAACTCAGAATAGACCGACTTTCGAGATTTTTTTTTTTTGTTTAATTCATTAATTGCATGCAACCTTACAGTTATGGCAATAGCCCCTGAACTACCCACTCTCTTCCGCCTCCTCTCACGTTTGTTTGGCATCTAATAAGTATATAATTATAACCTACATATGCAATGTGCTTTTATAATCTTCTGATTGGTCCATTGAGAGACGTTTTTGTTTCACTTGAAACATGTTGTGTTGGATATTAACATAGGGTATTGTGCTGAGTGGTGTTAGAGTGTTAATAGGGTTTCTACTGGTTCTGGGAATCGATAGTGGTTCGATTTTAGCGGTTTGGTAGCTGTTAAAGGGATATACCTGTAGTTTTAACTGGAGAAATTGTCTGACTTATCCGTTGATATATGGGGATAATATATCAGAAAAGCCACATATTGACCAGATCAGATCTAGATATAGTGATGGACTTTGCCTGCCAGGCAAATAGACAAATAAGCCGCAAAGCGGCTTGCCTGTATATTGGACTGATTGATATACATATAGTACCGGCCGAAGGCCGGAAACTACTTGTAGGAAATATATAACGATGCATCATCTTTCAACGTTCCCATCCGTACTCCAGTTCTCTCCTTTCTTCTTCCGCGTTCTCGTCTTGCCCGTTTCTCTGACTTTCGAGATTACATGTAGATACTAACATCCAATGATCAAGCCTAGTGCATCAGATCAAGACACCTATTTTTTCTTGAGGGAAGCCTATACCATAATTAATCAGATGTCCAATAATAGACCATTTTCTGGTAGGGCCAATCGGATAGCCACATGAAACTAATCTTAAATTCAACGGCCGAGTCCCCGCACCATAGGTCTGCACGACGTATGTGAGGATTATCCAGAAGGGCCGGCCTGTAGAGAGATATACCTTGCGCAAATCTCTTCGTTCTAGAACAATATATGATCTTCCGCTCTCATGTACAGAACGGCTGGTCTGTCGATCTGTTCCAATTATGCAATGTATGTACTCCGAGGAGGCTTTGCCTACTTACCGCCTTCAACTATGCAGGTATGTAGCGCCCGATCTTTCTGTATGATATTTCCGATATTGCCTTATTTTACTCGTATGTTTTCGCATCTTATGCAGGTCAACAGCGATAACTGTGTTGGTATATACGCAACCAAAATTGAGTCGTATTCCATATATGCAGAAGATTAATAGGCCATAGGGGAAATGATTAATACAAACCTATGTTTGTATACTAGATTCCCGCTATAAGGGGAAATAATCGAATCCCTGGATCAGTAGAGGGGAACTTATGTCACCGAGTGAGATTTGATGATCATCCCCAACGGAATCCCTGGCTGAGTACATCGTATAAACACAAACATACCTAATACAAATAGAAAATAGTATAAATAAGCTCTTTTCTTAACTATAATAATTTTCTAGGTATAGTGGTAGTTACATAATATTACGATAAGACCTGCTTCCCGCTACTTACCAACGAACTCCTTTACTATATTCTCTACTTTCCTACGCGCCAAAAAGTCTACTAAACACATATAAGAAATCTGTTACTCTCTAGGACGTGTTTGGGAGCGTTGGGAGCGTTGAGAGCTTTGGGTTAGCTGCACGTTGATGTCTTCTTATTACTTTCGGTGGTAAGCTTCTCTTGTATTTGTATTATTTAGACTGATGCAAAGCTAGAAGACTTTATATTAGTGTAGTTCAGACCCAAGAAACCTGAAACTTTCTTTTGTTAAACCCTCAAACTATTAATTCTGATGGCCAGATGGCTCGGGTTGAGTAAGCCAGAAGATTTTCATCTGCGGGTCCATTTCAAGTAACCTATCCTCGCACTCGTCCCGGCCCCACTCGATGCTCATTCCCCATTCAATCTCCCATTTCATTCTCATAAAAATTGCCCCTTCAATCGAATCGAAAGTAATTGAAGCCGAGCTCTTCAATCCACCACCGTTGAAGTAAAGCTTCTGATTCTGAACGGTAAATGAGTGCCCATCGTCGTCCTGTGCGGTTGATTTAACGAAAGAGTGGAGTTTATTGATGGAATTGACTGCGTCGGGCAAGCACGTTAGAATCAGAACCCTGGACTCACGATCATATGCTGGTGGTTGGACAGTTAATCCTAGCACACCATGACATCTTAGACCGTCAACCACGAGGCTGCCGGGGTATTCTTGAACCCACTTGAAAAAGCTAGCAGCAGATTCTGGGTTGCAGAAGGTAATTAGGGCTTGCTTGAAACTATTGCTTTTCTCGGCGTCGATAATACGTATATCATCGATTTTACCGCCTCGGACAAAAGTGGCAACCATAGCTGTTGTGATTTCGATTGGCAAGCGAGTCAATTTCACAACCCTCGCGCAGTCGTATTCGTTGACTACAACAACCTTCTTTTTTTTAAGCAGCTCAGGTGGGGTTGGGACATCGTTCCAAAATCCCGGCGAACGATCAAGACCGGTGATCCAGACAGCGGAATTGCTTTCTGCGGTTACACCGAGCCCCCAAGTACCAAGATTTTTGGCAGGGTCTTTAGACACTTTTGTCGGCTGATGGCCGTTATTGGTGCTGTATTTTTGGGTGTGAACCTTTTGATTATTGCTGCGCTTTTCGTTTACGTGAGTGCTTTGGTGTCTTTCAGAACTGTCGTCTGAATCTGTCGACTCTAAGTTGTGACAATAAGAGTCATGGGCGGAACTAGAGCAATCTTCTTCCTGGTTTGGTTGTGCGTATTGCTGACTGGTGCGATTGTTTCGAATGCTAATCCTGGATCGAAGTTTTGTATTATTCATGGAATTACAATATCTGTTTTTTCGGCGGAAGAATCAGCCATTGGGACGAAGATCAAAAGAGCCATTTTGTTATCAAATACAGGGAAAACCTATATATCTAATAATATCCGAGTTATATCTAAAATAAAGGGAGGGGTAGACCAGCGAAAATTTACAGACAGATAACACGGAAAGGCGAAAATTAAACTCACTCATTATCTCTCATACCCATTCTCGATGACTGAAACCTCTCAACATTACAATCAACTGCCTCACTTGATAGATCAGACATAGCCTGGGCGCTCTTCCTACTCCGGGAAGTTCCTTCACATGCACCGCCAGTAGAATTCTTGAGCTTGATCCATTCCCGAAGGTTGTCCCCGAGTAGGTTTTCTATCTCAGAGGGGTTGTGATTATAAATGGTGATTAATTTCTCGACGAATCTCCAGACAGAGATTCGGATCTCCTGGATGCTCTTGTTTGTCTTTTCCTCCCTCATCAAAGCTTTCGACAGCCGCGAATTAAGGATATTCTCGGCTTGGAAGCGTTCTTTTTCAGCTGTCTGGGACTCCCCAAGTCTCTCTTTATACCAGTTTGCACTTAACTGCAATTCATGATTCGAGTCTTTCAAAGCACGGTTTTTTGCGCTCAAGAGTTTAATTTGATCGATGCTGTCAGAATTAGCCTGCTCGAGAATTTTGATCTTATTTCCCAGTGGAGAACTTTCTTCTTGAAGAGAGATAAGACTTTGGGCAGTGGATGTAGCATTCAAGACGAGTGTTGTGAGGGATTCTTGAGTTCGGATGTCCCCAGTAGCGGTGCATCTGCGGAGGCAGTCTGTGAGACTATCGATAGGGTCGGTTGTACTCTCCCCAGGCGTAGTCTGGCTAACAGGCGAACAGCTACGATTGTTCGGCGGACTCATGGCTAGTTTGAAATCTGTATGAGACAGAGGATTAGGATGGTGATGAGATGGAGAAAGATGGTGGGGCATAAATGATGAGGTAGCATAAATGGTGGTGGGGAATGGAAGGGGGTGGGCGTGAAGAGCGTGAAGAAATTGATGGGTTGAAATGGTAAGGTGATGAAGGGACGTCATAGACAGGTTTACAAAGAGTGACGAGTCTCTCGTATATATACGGGAAATTTTCCTTAAATTCTTTTGCTACCCCAACTGATTCGAAATTGAAATTTGAAATACCACTAGGCTTAATTTTCTCTTTAAAGAGTGAAGGTTTCATTCATAAATTCGTTCAGTGTGTTAACCAGATTTAAACCAAAAAAATATCTCAACTACACTCAGCTGACATCTCAAAATTCAGCGTAAAGAGGCAAATCCCTCGAACTTCTCCCTACAGATATACCAATCTTTCTTTCAGTTGGCAGTATCCAGTTTTGTCTCTCTGTATCCCACCAACTCAATTCTTTTCGTGTAACTCCAAAGGTGATTTTCTTGCTCTCACCAGCTCCCAATGCAACTTTTTCAAAACCTCTCAACGCTTTTACTGGTGCTCCTTCAACACTATTCGGGAGAGAAACATACAACTGTGCAACTTCTTTGCCATCAAGCTTCCCGGTGTTTTTAACCGTGACCTCTACTTCAACAATCACATCCCAAAGCGAAGGGTTACCTCCTTCTCCACCACCGGCGGGTGATGGCTGGCGGGCTGTATGATAATCGCGTGGGTAAGGATAATCACCATCATGGCGCACTTCATCGGCTGATTCCAGATATGGATAGATGTATTTTTTGACACGGTTGAATCCTTTAGGATATAGAGTTTCAGAGATTGGCGGGAGCTTGTTATCGTAAGCCGGTGGATCAAGTCCATCAGGACGACGAGCCGGGAGAGCAGTCTTTGGTGCCTTTGCTGTAAGTTTGAGATCTGAGAACTCAAACGAAGTGTAGGAAAGACCGAAGCCAAACTCATAGCGTGGGTTAATATCATTTTTGTCGAAGTATCGATAATCAACCAAGAGTCCCTCGGAGAAATTTTGTTGTGGCCTAATAGAATTAGGGATATACATGATACCAGCAGTTGGGCCGTAGTCTTTCAAGCTCTTTCCAACTGTGTAAGGAAGCTTTCCGCTGGGGTTCTCGTCGCCAAACAGAACATCAACAAGGGCATTTCCACTCTCTTGACCAGGTAGCTGCGCCATGATAATGGCCTTTACAGCTGGCTTATCCGCCCAGTTTTCAACAATAACCGGGCCAACAGAATGGATAACCACGATAACGGGCCCACCACAACTCTCAGCGACTGTCTTGACAAGCTCATCACCTCCCTTTTGAGCGTATAAATCATTCCGGTCACCAGCAACGCCAAGGTCGGAGATAAACCCCTCGCCGGCATCTGCATTGGCAAAGACCAGGCACAGATCCTGTTCCTTAGCCGATTTGCGGATTTTCTTCAACGAATAGTTGTCCAAAATGCTTGATATCTCGGGTATATCATCTTTAGAAGTGTTGAAAGCCTTCAAAAGAGCTGATAATGGATCGACAAGATATGGGAACTCAACGGCGCCTGAACCCCATCCAGATGCCAAAGTACCTTGGTTACAGCCGCGATCTTTGCAAACGTTCGCTCCTTTTCCGGGGCCTGCATCCTCGCCGTAGATACCCACCCTCTTTCCACCCCATGAGCCTCTGACAAGGGGAAGTACGGAATCTTCATTCTTCACAAGGACCGTAGCCTCGGCGGCAATCTTCCGAGCAACTTTGTGATGATCACTCGAGACATCTATAAATTTGTTGACGACCCCAGTTTCTCCCTCTCCGGAACCAAAATGTAGCAGTCCCTCTTCTTCATCTGTCCAGCTGGAGAAGTTGGGTCCTTCGGGAGAAAACTTGCTTTCGTCATCTTGTCCCATCTGGTACCACGTAGCGACAATTCTTGTGGCCATGTCATTGAGCCTTTCGATAGGAATTGAGGAATTAAGGACGCTACGTGTAAGAGTAGGACCCATAAGTGAGTTGCCGTCAGCCCAGACCATTCCGTCTCCAGGCATCGTCATGTCAAGTCCTGCAAGGACCGAATCAACGCCGGAGCGTTGTGCAAGCCAGTCTGATTGAACAAAGCCTTGAAAGCCGAGCTCATCTTTAAGGAGCCCATTCAAAATCTTACTATTACCACAAGAGTAGGTATTGTTGGTCATCTGGTATGAGCACATAATGGATCCAACGCCTGCTCTGACGGAATCGGCGAATGGCCAGAGATACATCTCATGCATGGTCCTATCGTCAATATTACTGCTGATAGCGTACGGCATTCCCCACTCGTGGACTTGTCTAAAATGCTCTTGTTCGTTCGCTTCAACATTGATATACACGTCAGCACAAGCTCTCCCCTTGTCAATGAGAAAGGGGTATACCAATAAAATGTTTTGCAGTGGCGATAACACCCTGCCCTTGTATGCCCTTAATAGTGGCAGCTGCGGCGGCACCTTGAAGATAAGGATCTGATCCAAACCCTTCCCAATTCCTTCCACCAGCTGGCATTCGTCCTAGAGGGCCCATTGCGGGGCCGAGGATAATATGAATTCCCTTGAGGCGAGCTTCAAGACCATGAAGCTCCCCACGTTTCTCCCTATTTTAAAGTTATTAGTATAACCTCAGTATTTAACTTCTCAAGAATAATAACTACTAACATCAGCTCCTTATTCCATGTTGCTCCTACAGTCAAACCAGCAGGCCATGCTGTAGCATGATCGGCGAATCTAAGTCCCAGAGGGCCATCTTGAAGGCAAAGAGAAGGGAATAGGCCAGGGACGGACCCAGTGTTACCTAGGTCACAAATTAGCATCGTTCTCAGATCCAGTAGTATTATCAAAAAAATTATAAATTGTAAACCTTACCGACACACATTTCCTGCGCCCACCCAGTACCAGTGGTGATGTTAACCTTCTCAACCAGACTCATCTGACATACTAGCTTTGCAGCTTTTTTATATGACCCCTCCCAGTTTTTTACAGTTCCTCCCTTAGCTAATTAAAATATTAGCAGTTTCATTCAGAATAATTTTAAACGAGGAAAACTTACGGCTTGGATACCAGCCCTCGCTTTCCCACTTTTCCGGCCCAAAGTATGTTGTATATACCACTCCCGAGGCTGCCAAAACCGAAACTAGCACAACTACACCTGCCACTGTCCCCAAACAAATTCGCTTCAAGGTGATTTTACCATTCTTGTATTTTTTAAATCCGGATGCGTCTGCAGCAGATGATTTGTACCATTTTGGTTCTTTTCCATACTCAGGATAGCTAGAGTCGATTGATTGGTAAGAATCGATTGAAGCTCTTGATGTGTCGTTGGCGAAAGCCTTTGATTTTGCTAATAGTTCCTCACGATCTGAGAACGAACGGCGGATTTTCGACCCCATTTTTTCTGACATCTTGCTCAAAGGAAAAGTAGGAGAACAATTCCAAACAGAAGCTGGATGGTTGGGGAAATATATTCTTGAAAGACCTAGCAGCCTTAATCAGGCGTGACGGGACCAAGACACGGCAAAAGGGTTGTCGGGCCGCAACCCCGCTGCAGGGTGTCTTCTTTGGTGGGGTTTTCTGTCAATCCTTCCCCACGCGGGGATCAAGAGCCTAAAAGAGCCGCATTGTACCCGGGTTGTGGACCGGAAACTCTGGGCACAGTACCCAGTACCAGTTCAAGTGCCTACGGGGAGTGTCGGCAATCAGGGAGTTTGAGCTTGTATTTCTTGGTTTTATCCGGAAAACTAACAGTGCTTAAGTTCTAGAGTGCCTAGATCACATACTCTAACGTGTAGAGGCTTTAGGTCGCGGCATAAACCAGAAAGATAAAGTCAACGTCACTTACGTAGATTATGTAATTGAGGTAAGTAGCCGTAGTCCACTTTCAACTATCCCTTAGGCTGTCAGGCCGAATCGCAATGTGTTATCGAACCTGATATGGTTAATATGCCCTGTTGAACTCTGTTACTGTTCGTTCTATCATTGTGGCGATAGAGCTCTCTGGTCTCTAGCTAGCGTATTGTAATAAACTCGAGGAGAGAGTGAACATGACTGAGAGCGTTTATCAGAGAACATTAATTAACCATATCAGGTTCGATAACACATTACGATTCGGGATGACTGCCTAAGGGATAGCTACGCAGCAGCCCCTGCCGAAGTATTTAGGCTCGAGGATACTACCGAACTCTATCAATTGATTATTTATGCCTCCGATCATCAGAGAATGTCCTGAGTTTTAACATCAGAGGACAGACTTAGACTTCAACATTGACGTGAACCTATAGGGTAAAATAATATACATACATACATACATGTACATATGTAGGTAGAGTAGGCACATCGCTATATGTGCACTCTATACTTTACGCACTTGTGTGCAGTAGTTGAACCCCAAATACATGTCATGATTAACGGTCACACCCCATTAAAAGATGAGTTATAATGTCAACAAATAAGTAGTGGGTCTTGGTCGGTAAGATCAAGCGCTAGTAATATCATTTGACGGGATTTATTTAATCCACAAGTATTTCGATTGCATTTTATTTATTTTTTCCCTTTCATAATACATCTAGTAATGATACATGTAGAGTAGGTTAATCCTGTCGTAGGTTCTGTGATGCACACACACTACACGTAGTCGCCCTGGAACCCGCCATTAAAGCCAAATATAACCCCATGTGCTCCGCGTTAACTACATGTATGCCAGAGATCCAGAGTATAGTCAGGTACATTACATGAATATACTCACTTTGCCAGAATTAAAATACGTTGACATAATATTTTCACACAAATCCAACCAATCATAGGTCATTTTGACCTGGTTTTTCTTATGTAAGCCGTATTTTAATGCTGGCGATATGAGTATATAAACTTACAAAGTATGTATGATATGGTATGGCTACATGTAATTGCCTTTAGCGATTATGATCATATAATAATTAGCCAACGATAACACCTATGAAACATCATGTCATATCACTCGCTGAGCAAGATCAGCCATACAACGCTCCCTATTAAACTGAGTTATGACACCTAGCTAACTGTTACACACGCCGAGGAGGCTATGCAATACCTCTACGTCACCACCTACTAGATCTATTAGGAATTGACCAGTACTGATACTTTCAGTCCTGGAGATACTCCGTGTGCGTCCAGTATTATGAAATGTTTGAAATAATATTGTGTCTTTACTGATTGATCACTCGCGCGCGTTTTCTAGCTTGTTTTACGATTTTACCAAACACAACACCCAGGTCGCGCAGTCTACATACGATGATACGACTCTTATAAGCTTAAATCCTCTAATTAAACGTCTCATTGATAATCGATAGTCATTTAGGTCCGCGAAGAGTACGTGTGTTCATGCGACTAATTATCATCACGCGCACGATGGAGCTCTCCGTCGAGAATACAAGTTCAGATCAACACTCTCTTGGGCGGAGCAACGTTGTGTGGCTGTTGTACGATGTGCACGCATTAAGACCCTCAAGTTTCAACCAATCACCCCAATTTACAAATGAACCAATAGGCTCCGCCACAATGCTACTCTAAAATTTGAGTATGGTGCTTTTTGGCCAGCGTATCAGCAAAAAATCCTTACCAAGAGAGTAAATGCATGGATTTAATGATTTTTGTAATATATAATTGGCCGGCGCATACATGTAATCTACTATATGAGCATCACACATAATCACTCGATCGTATGTACATGTATGTCTCAAATGCATGTAACCACCCGAATTGAGGCGGTGCGCCGCGAAATACTTAGATACTCGAGAAGGGTAGGTACATACGGATACATGTAGATCTTCTCGAATCATAGCCACTGCCAAGAAGAAAGAGGTGTGAAGTGCTAAATGGCACGACGCCTGATGCGCGTGCGGTTCCGCACATGTAGCTGAGAAGTATTACTAGGCCTTACTTACTTATTCTTCAGTCTCAACCGACTGCCATCTACTATCGCAAGCTTCGGAGACGAAGAATTTCTTTAGAAACTCACGAATTTAACGATTTAAGAGGATTTTCGCTTATTTAATCCCATCTATATATTTGTTTATACTCAAGTCGCTACTCTCCGGGACTTAAAACAGCAACTCCGACCTCCGACCCCCGACCTTAAACCCGGCCCAGCCCAGATATAAAGTTCTATGCACACATACTCTTGCTCAGCACTGGTAACGGATTGTAGGAGTAAGGTTTGTGTATCCCGAACTGCCAACTTCGTAGCTTGGCCAGTTGACGCACCCTTGGGCACTACCGTACATACATGTACATGTACTTACTTCTAAAACATTAATTGCGCAGGTTCGAGATCTTGTTCTAGTCAATAGGATACACCCACAGCCTAGCACTGCAGTGGTTCCAAGAATTTTTACCGAAAGTTTGAGATTTCGCCGCCAGGATGATGGCACTTTTTACTGTAAGCCACTTATAACCGGATTTGAAACCCCTCCACTCAATATACAATCTGTTAATATTAGCAGTGAAAATCGTTCCTTGGCCAAAATTCAAGAACGAAATTCAGTTTACTCACTTTCTTGGATCCGAACGGCAGAGTCGGCCTGTACACACTAGGTATTCCTTCCCCTCTCTTATTCTCCGTTATACTGATTTTCTATCCATTGAAGTTGCATCGAGGAGAATTTCCACATCGCACAAGTTTTCCGGTTGGCGGGGGCCATAGGTTTACCTGTAAGAGCATAATCGACATCTTTGCACTGTCCGTGCATGTAACTAACTACATCGCCTAGGCGTCGATTCTTCACGATACTCCACTTCCATGTTCACAGCCACCTCGAGAAGACCCTCCAGAAAAGAAAGATTTGCCTTTTGAACCTAAGTGCAATGACCCCTCTATAAGGGAACGCCCTACAAGCAACCCGAAACACCAGGCTGGAGATTCTACAGATACACCCGTGTTCAGTAATGCCCTCGAAGCACATCAGGCTTTAGCGAGTGAAATAGAAAGGCTGGTATGATACCCACTTTATACTTCAATAAAACCCACTAGTAATGCTAACTTATAAATATCCAGCCTCCTTTTTCAACATCCAAAGCTTGGTACCGCGAGAAATTCTTCAGCTCTATTCTAAACCTTCCAACACTCGTTCGGTCGGAGCAATGTGCGAGTAGAGAGCGCGAGAGATCCCAAGTCATCAGTGATGTTGATCGTTTGTGTGCTACACTCGATGCGACGGCTTTTGAAGAGCAAAACACAAATGGTGTGCCAATCGATTCAGGCTTCAAACAGAAGTCGTGTGGCTCTAGCAACCAAGCTGGTGGCTCTAGCAACCAACCCGGTGGCTCTAGCAACCAACCCGGTGGCTCTAGCAACCAACCCGGTGGCTCTAGCAACCAACCCGGTGGCTCTAGCAACCAACCCGGTGGCTCTAGCAACCAACCCGGTGGCTCTGGGAGTAGTCGAAATTTATCTAAACGAAATAGCCAGCAGTCAGCAAACTCTAGCAACCCAAAGCTAAATCGCAAGAGAGGTAAACAGTCTAAAAAGAGCGGCTCGGAGAGCGAAAGCGAGAACGGTACCCGGAAGAGAACAAAAGGTTCTGACCCAGAACCAAATTACGAGTCCAAATGCAGAATCTATGAGAAGTCAAATATTATCCGTCAAGTTTACACATACAACACCTGTAAAGGAAAAACTTATGCCAATTATAAAGACATGCTGTAAGTTAATTTACATCCCACTCCCCTCTTTATTACTGACATGTTAATTTTATTAGTGATCATATCCTTCGGGTACATATAAAGCCGTTCCAATGTGGACGATGTATGGCACGCTTCGGAAGACATAGCGAACGTAATCGTCACGAGGGTGATGTTTGCAAAAAAAAAGGACTTGTTGAGCGGACAAAAGAAGACCCAAACGACGTTCCGGACTATGTTATTGCTATGGGTAAAGAAATATCACTCTGTCGAGATAATGACTCACTAGATCAGGTGCTTTACCATGGTGATCAAAAAAAGTACGACTACCTTGACAAAACAGACGGTATGTATAAACGAAAAATCCTTGGGACGAACTTTGACCAGAAATTCTTAAAATAATTTTAACCTCCCGAACATTCGTGAAACTAACGCCTGGGTACAGTGAAAAAAAAAATAGTGTTCTATCCAGCTCCCGAAGAAAGTCAGGAAGAACCCAAGCACCCAATCTCTCAGCCCTCCTTAAGCATATCCTCTCACGCCCAGGAACTGAAAGTGATGGAAAGTAGGATAAGCAATATTGGATCATACCCTGCGGGTGGGGTTGACGTCGAAAAACACAGCCAAATCTGTGATAATCACATAGATCGTTTCTTTGGCCACAGTCAACCCAGCGGCTTTGGCGGCGGTCCGTCAGGCTTCGACCTGGTAAACGATCGCGAATTAACCAACGATTTGATGCTTGATATTACCAATAGCTCCGAAACATACACAGACACAGCCCTAGAGATTGAAAAGATAATAACAAATCGTTATGACGCCGAGAAAGACCCAAAACGGTACCAAGAGCTTATTAGTATTTTATTTGCTAATCTACCGAAAAAACTCTCGGATGACTTGGTTGCACATATTCGTACGAGTCCACACATAGCACCCGATGTTCTGTTTGAGACTGGATTCGGAGTACCGCCCGTTCTCAACAAGTACGCCCGAGGAGTTATATCTGAGGGTGATGAGATTCCAGGTATGTCACGGAATTTTATTTTACTTATTCCCTCTTTGCTATAGCTAAATTATAGACAGTGCCCGACACATCACCGCCCGACAGCGGCTTTGATTCAAACCAAACCGATACCGAGATATTGCTACAACCACTGGTAGGCCCAGGAATTTTACCCTGTGTGTTGAATCATATTTAACATTTACCAGAAAGATTATTGCAACTTCTCCCCATAATTAGGAGGTGGGGGATGGCCTACGACTTATAATGCAATCAAATCCGACCTAAAGATCGATTATCCTAAGCACTTTAAGATATCTATACTTCATTTCTTCGAATCTATCACAAGGCTACTTTTATTTATATTCACTCTCCTTCTGGAAGATTTTTCTTTACTTTTGTTTATATTTTTCTGGGGGTTTATTATACCATGGTACCGGTACCAGTATATACGTATTTCATTTTTCTAAGCGGTTTATAAGAATTTCGTTATAACGCTAATTCTCAAAGATGTAATTACTTGCGCGATTGTTCTCCCTTTTCCAGAACTGGCCCTTAGTTTTGTGTTTTATATACTCTACCTCATATGGTAAAATCGACGAACAGAAATGCCCTTAATTAGTACGAGCGAGTGTACCATTTAGATAGAAACTTTCTTTCACTCTTTAATGTCTTTAAACTTTACATTGCGTGCACCGAAAGTTGTCGATTTGAAAATATATGAGCTCGGCCTGGGGCTAGCTGCACCGGACCTCGCTCAACACCCGAAGAATTAAAGAGTCGACCCAATTGCGAAATGAATCTCAGGAACTCTTACTCAAGACGACTGTCAAGGGTAATGTTTTGCTAAGATCATAGTCTAACTTGTGACTAAGGCGGTTAGGGATGATACTAAACCATGTATCTTACTAATAATATCACGCTATACTTAATGTAAAGTATTAACCCTGGGCTGTCGGAACACGCTAGCCTTTTTGTTCTTTCTTATTATTTATTCGACCTGATTCGACCTCCCAGCAAGGTCTCGCTTATTTGCTATGGCTTGTTATTTCCATTCCATGGCATCATCATTAACAGCTTAAGAATTTAAAAATAAATATAAGTATTGACCCTATATGGCCATCAGAATGAATCCTTAATTATGAGTAAACTTTGTCTATCTACTACATGTAGTAAGCATAATCCAATGGCCCTCGCCAATTTGGTATTTTGTACTATTGATATTTACTTCCATTATCCAATAAAGACTGGGACAACATCGGGCATTATATAGTATAAACGGTCCATGGTTTATTAAACACAAAAGCTCTAAATTTGAAAGGAGAGAGGAAAAAAAACATTTACAGCTCGGGCTACTGTTGCCCCTAAAAGAAAAATCAAACAAAAAACTATTTGTACACATAGAACGACAAGTCCGCATCAGGATCCATTTCCAGCTGTGTTTTACCATTGCCCATGAACTTGAACCTGTTGGCACCATTGTACTTGAAGTTGAAGTCCTCGCCCCGAATGCTATCGATGAGCTCTTTGTAATGGATGACACTGCCTGCATATGTCGCGGTGACTTTACCATCAACGCTTCCGTTCTTGTACCACGATTTGCACCCACTAGACCAAACAGTCCGTTTAAGGTATTCTTGTGTGTAAACATTGTACTCTTCTAATACATCCTTTTTGACAACGAAAGACCTAGAACTTGTTAGATATACATTAAAATGTCAATCCAGGAGCTATAACTTACTTGATGTCTTCTGATGCCATCTTTCTGATCCATCGCAAGATGTACTCCGAAGTCCACTCCATCACAGCCAACAGGGAGCCGTGGCCAATAGGACAGTTAGGTCCGTTGATGATGAAATAGTTCGGAATATCAGGGGCGTGGATTCCAAGGTACGCCTCTGGGTTTTGTGCCCAAGAGTCGAGGTTCTTTCCATCATTGCCCTCTAATTTCCACCGCGGAACGAACGAGACGTCAAAGCCTGTAGCGCAGATTATGGCATCTAATTGTGTCTCTTGGCCATCGACAGTGACAATTCCCTTCTCAGTAATTTTCTCAATCCCTGACCAGGTATATGTGCAGTTCTTTCTTGTAGTGCCTCAAGATACCCCTCGCCGGGTGTAAGCCTTCTGCATCCAACACGCCACTTGGGGATGAACTGCTTAATAAGCTCTTCGTCACCGCCAAGACGCTCTCTCATGATTTTCCTATACATGTCGGTGATGTAAATGTTTTCAGGGGAGTCGTTGATAAGAGCGTAAAAGAAATGGTTGAACGCATTTTCAATTTCTTTGCGATATTTAGTCAGAGTCTCTGGCTTATCTCTGAACTCCGCCTTTTGCTCTTCGGTGTCTGCAGTCGGTCGTGTTAGCATTGATTCCAGCATCACTCCAACTTATGGGGAAGGAAATGGGTACATTTAAAGTTTTTTCCCTCTGGGGTAAATTCTGAGGAAAATCCGGCACTGATCCATGTTGGTGAGCGCATGAAATTTGTAAGGTGTCCAGCAACCTTTTGTAATTGAGGAACGATTTGGATGGCGGAAGATCCATTTCCGATAATACCAACTCTCTTTCCGGTAAAGTCATAGCCCTTGTCCCTATAAGGTTGTTAGCCTAAATCCCTTGGGGGAAATTTGTACTTATGTGACTTACCACTGGGCGCTATGAACAAGATGTCCTTCAAAAGACCCAAGACCCTCAATGTCAGGCCACCTCCATTTGCTTTGATTGAAGTTAGTATATCCCTTGTCTCATTAAATCTCGAGAATGAAGCATACTTTAAGATTCCTGAAGCATCGATAAAGACCTCACACTCATCGGAGATGATAGTTCCTTGTTGGTCGATCTTGAGCTCCCACTTTCCTCGTGACTCGTTCCAGATAGCTTCAATTATCTTGGAGTTAAAAACAACGTCACGAGTAAGATCATACTTTTCGGCCGTATTTTTGATGTACTGGAAGATTTCTTCGCCACCACAGTAGAAAGAGCTCCAGTTCGGATTTGGCTCCCAGGAGTAGGTATAGATGTGCGCTGGAACATCGCAAGCAACACCTGGGTACCTGTTTTCCAGCCAAGTACCACCAACGTCGTGCTAAACCCCTCGTTAGCTTTGAGACTTTGTCTTGCGGGTATTTGGGTCCTCACATTTTTCTCATAGATAACATGGTCCACAAAGTCCTCGACCTTGATCTCATGCCGCATTTTGTATGCAAACATCAAACCGGCGTGTCCAGCACCAGCGGTCACAACTCTCATTTTCTTAGGAGCGAAGAGAGGATCCTCGTTAACAGGAACCCAGGTCTTGGGAAGTGCTGTAGTGCCCGAGCCTGGAGTTGAAGGTTGCTCATCTTCAGTGTGGGGTGCCATAACGTTGCCCATGGTTTTGGTTGTAGGTATAAACTGAGTATTTGGAACAAGTATTTAAAGAGTTCAATGGTGTTTCTTCACAGAGATGGTTGTCTGGAAAACTGAGGTGATGATTTTTTTTCAACTCTGCCTGGGAGTAGGTGATATATATACTCTTCGGAGAGCATCCAACAAGATGGACACCAACCAAACAGGAAAAAGATCATTGAGACCCAGTATGGAAGGGTGTCAATCCCAATGTGGGGGGGACGATAGTGTCAGACAGCCCTTTTCCCCTAAACCCATGTGCCACAATGTTCATGTCCATTAATGGAGTGCGAATGATTGGACCCGGTGTGTCGATCCTAGGTCGTAACTTGGAAAGACCGTTAGGTGTAGTAGAGCCGTGCGGCAGTATAATAATGCTAGCATTTATGGCCGAGGAGGCGAGACATGCATCTGATCTAAGCATTTACATAGAGCTCCGATTGCACTTTTCCACAAATTCTGGGAGAGAGAGCCGGCTCTGATCAGCCACATTTTAGGGCACACTCAGTATCTCTTACTTTTTCAACTTCCGCCCCATCGCGTAGAATGCAGTTGGATTTGACAGATGTATTTACCGTTTGTTTTTTCCCCATATAGAATATTTCCAGAAGGCCAAGTTGAGAACTCTTGATAATATTCAATATTTATGAACCCCTTGAATCCCTACCATGTAGAGTAAAGGGACCCCTAAATTTTTCTTTTTCAGGAGTCATAGCAAACTTGAAGTTTTAAACCCGGCTGACCGGTGGGTCTTGATGTTCGTCTGTCCAGCAGAGTAGGTATCCCGGTAATCGTGGGCCATGTTGTTCTGAATCACAAAAAGTAACTTGGTTCAGAAACCCGAGAGGTAGGGTTGTGTGGGGTATGAGTAAGTACATGTAGTTATGTGTATTCGCTCGGGTCGTGCCGCAAGTAAACGTGAAACGTCCCCCTTTCGAAGGTTCCAACTACAACGCTAACGCCAAGACATCGATCAACTGTTAGTCCGTGCTCCTGCACACCTGCCCGAGGAAAGTCCTCGAGGGTTTAACAATACTACTATTTATCCGAAGAATACCAAGAAAGTGATGGAGGTATCTGCAAGCCAGCCACTGGCCATCGTGGTACTCTACATACTCCTACGTCTCATATGTTGTTCTTTTGAATTTTATTATGATGTGACATCGTAACTTATCCTCCCCCCCCATCCCGTGTCTCTTGTAACGGTCCAAGCACTGCGGGATGCTTTCGCCTGACCCTAATTTCTATGAGTTTTGCTTTTTTTGTTATGAGTTCAGACATCTGTCTACTCAAGTAGCAATACGAATGATAGACTCTAGAAAGGAGGGTGGCCCCTTAGACACAACAGCTTAAAGGCTCAAAATGGATACTCTACATGTAGGTTTAAGGCAACTGCGTTTGACAGCTGTCTAGGTTAGTGGAGCTACATATAGTACCAATGCTAGAAGTATTTGTCTCAAACACATCAATACCTACAGCCGTTAATTGCATCCCCGGAATATGACAACTACAAGCGCCATTATTCCATCTAACCAGGTTCCTACATGATTATGTATGTACATACCAGACTCCCATACCTATGTAGTCGCGTGAGTTTATCGGCCTGAGACTTTGGCTTTTGGCAGAACAAATCTACAAATTGCCTTGAGGCGTCTTTGTATTCATGGCAATAACTACCATAGCGGCGCCAGTTTTTGTACTGCATGTAGGCACATAGAGTATGTAGTAGCAAGATGTGGTAGCCCCCACTACAAACACCGGAAACTATAATTATAAAGCAAATTACGATCTTACGAGCCTTAGAAGGCATGATATTAATTTCCCACTGGCCTCACACATGATGGAAAAAGGTTATATTGTGCCTACACGTACATATATATACGTAGTTTTTAGTATTACTACATGAATAAAATGTAGCCTCTCCTTAGTAATGGTTCTGTCCTAGGTGTGAAATTGAGTGTACTAATTTGGGCACATCATGTACATGTGTACATGTAGTTACCCTAGTTGGCGCTAGGCAATTCCAAATCTGCTTGGTGGATTTCCTAGCCCATTACACTAGCCATGCTTGTATGTTCTTGGAAACCTTTATAATTAAGCTGCTACATGGGTTTTCTAAGGATACGATATTGTCTCCATCAATAGTGAGATACATGTACTTGAAGTCTAGGCAACTACGTGTACTCAAATTTAATCTAAAACACCAAAGATTTCTCATCTATGGGATATAGGCCATATGAGTTTCCGACAACCCTCACAATAGTATAGAGTTGAGTAAGTTGGATCCAACAGTCCCAGGTCTCCACTTAGAACAGCCGAATTTCTCATTTTGAATAGCACATAGTGTCTCTAGTAATCCATACCGTACGCGATCATATGGGCGGGGTATTCGGTTATGCACTGGCTATGCGCCAAGAATTTCATTGGGAGCGCGTAGAGTACATTCTTGATATTCTCGTTTTGATGTTTGACATGGAAGAGAGGCACTTGAAAACGGTAGGGTATAAGTAATATACATATTTACAAACTTTCATATATACATGTACATATAGCCATGGTCGGTAAAAAGGAGGTTTAGGACTTAAGTTAATAAAGTCCCAAGATTCTTCTCCTATTGCCTATCTCCGATCATCTGTGGCCGCATACATAAGAGGTACCATAAAGAGCTACTAAATAAAAATTGAGTAGCCGAAGTTCCGTCCATTGGTTGTGGTGAGTTCTCAGATGTTGGCTAGCGAGTGATCTGTAGTGATTATGCCAAGACTTCATGGGAATCCGGTGCTACTTACATGTATATAAGATGCTCCCAATAGCATAGATACCGGAGATACATGTAATCGGGATCGCTCGCTTTGGTAAGTGGAGCCAGATCAGAAAGTCAAAATATATTTGAAGATAGGCACGACGAACAATTACAACGCCACAATTAGTCACTTCGTGAGATCTAGAGGTATGCGCTCATATATATTGTAGAGCATATATGTAATATTCGCCGCCGGGTCATATTCGTCATGCTCTCCGTCATTATCACGTATGTAGATACCAAATTGCTTTATGCGATGCCCATGTGCAGCTCATCCATGTGGCTCTGAGATACTCCATGGCCGGGCATTCTACAGTGCGCATTAATGCAAATATAACTGTCGCAAGCATTTCGGATAGAGTGCATACTCTACACGTTGTAGGCACATAATGTCACTACTATCAATATATGGGCGCACACGTGGTAAAGGCACGTGCTATGGAATTAACCAGGGGGTACGAACAGTACCTTCAATGTCCTCGCAAGGATTTGTACATGTTCTTGAGATCTGGTCGGTACACTGGTGTGCTATCATATCCTTCTATCTCTAACGTCTCCTACTTAACACTCATGACTAATTTTATAATTAACGTCATAAACTAACGACGAAATACATCAAGGTACTCGCCAGTACAGTACTCTATAGATATCAAGTACAATTCCATCCAGCGTTCAGAGTTATCCAGACTCGGTTACCGGATCGAAGTTTGTCGGCTGTTGATCATGTTGTCAATTCTCCTTTGGTATCATCGTGGGTTCAGTCGGGGCCCCGTAACTTACGAATCAACTTTTTAAATCACAAAAGCTTTGATCGTTCCTGGTCGTCCCGACAATCCAGTCTGATAAGTGAGTACATACATATAAACGAGTAAAACACCAATTCCCCTGTGGCTTCCTTTCTTTTTATTGAGCTCATCACAGCTCAGGAGAACTGCACCTCTTACGTCCATAAATTACTAAATTTATTGTGGGCACAAGGGATTGACTGTTTCTAAATGTTATAGGTAGTGCATATATAGGGCATATAAACAAATGCATTGGCCCGTTGGAAAGACAAGCAAACCCCCCTTATAGAAAGTGCACTTAAGCCTACAAGCCGGAAGTTAGTGATACACGAGATCTTCACATGGCTTAATTTTGTGGCGCTCAGGGGATCTATGCATTTGGCACTCTATGTCCATCTCTGCCTATCACAGTTATGTCTCAGGCGTGGTAATTGCAGGCCATACCGTGAACGTGGGCCCCAGGGAGAGATAGCGACAGACGCTGGAGAAAGAGGTGCGCAATGTTGTGCTTTGTCCTTCTTTGATGCTCCTGTCGTGTGTTTTTCTTTTCTTTTCCTTTCCAACCTCCGACTTGCATGATATGAGCTCTCAAGCCGCCACACTCACACACCGAAGGGTAATGCAGGCTTGCCTCGCAATGAAAGTTGCCCACACGCATCTCTTTTATTATTGCGATGCTTAATACTCCGCGTGAATATAAGACTCTACGGGTCCAGAGGAGAAATTAAAGTATGTCCTGCCCGTTGTATGTACTGGCTACAAGTGGTCTTGTTCTTCAGCAAGGAATAGCGCGGCCGCTAAGCTCTAATAGTTAATACTGCTCGTCTATTGGCCAATCGGTTCAACACCTAGGCTCCCGCTGCCAACAGGCTCAACTGCCGTCCAACCCTAAGATGTTTGTGGCTACGGGCCGTGCACCCAAAAGAAAAAAGGATCGTTTTTTCAATTAAAGGGAAAAACAATGCTTTTCAAGATGTCGATTCGCGGCGCAATAGTGAGAAGATCGATAGAGCTATTTTTCATGGAGCATGTAGGTACTAACTGACTGGGTAGATACTCCAAGTGATGTGCAATTCGTAAACCTGCCAGTAGACTAAGATCTAGTAATTATTACAAACTAACAGCTATCACGATATTTATGAAGGATTTCTCCGATTACATATATTGATCATTACTTGAAACAGCATGGCACACATGCAGACACATACAGAATTGGCCTGCTAAGAATAAAAATATTCTAATGACCGAGGACGATTGTGAAAATGCGGGGGATTAACCTCGGGCTAGTTGCGGTCTATGTCGAGTAATTCGGAGTATAGACACTTACATATGTTGACAGCCAGCTCCACCTGAGTACATTACCTGAGATATAGTACCTTTGAAGGTGGGTATCGGTGACCTTTCCGACTGCAATTGGATTAATGAGATGGTAACTAATGTGTAGACAGGTTTTCCTTGCTGATAAACACAATATCATGGGAATCGTATTAATGCTGCGGGGTCACTATATTCGGGGAGCCGAATTCTATACCGGATTATTTATTGCTATTTTTTTCAAGTATTTGTCAATTGAAACGTCACTTGGATTGTCTAATTACTTAACCAGTCGGTTACGGGTATCACGGCTGCCACTATTTGGGCTATATGCTATATACAGTACAGGTATTGTAGGTCCAGGGAAAATCCAAAACGAATCAGTGATACATGATTGCTAAACCCTGCGAATCGTATCGTGCTTTGGAGAACCATGGAAAGATATCCGATAAATCAAATATTACATATCAAATATATGTACCTCGGTGATACCTGCCTGCACGTTTCCGGTGCGATTCTGGAATATCTCTTCTTGCCTTGGGCCGTCCTTGGCAGCGGTTGTTTGCACGCCAAGTCAATTTGACATATCTGACTTGCTTATGAAACTTTAATCTGACCGCCCTGCAGGTATTCCCCGCACCCAGTTGCACAAGCAGAGCAGAGCAGGGCAGCAAGACACTGCCAACAATGTACACAGTGAACGTTAGAACACAACTTGTGTATTCATTCACCAGTCTTGCTCTCGCAGAACACATCACGAGTAGTGACATTAATGGCCGCGCAGGATTCTCCACAACGACCTCCTTAGCCCTCTGTTTAGCCAACTCGCTGATCCACTGTAACCTTCACCTCCCAGACCACGACGAGCCCACCACCACCACCACCACCACCACCGCTACCCTTGATCACGGCGGGGGAGGAGGGTCTTCTGACGGCCTCTTCTCCATCCGTCATCAGGCCGCCGAGTACATCAAATGGGGGAGACAGGGCCATTTTTTCGTTTCCCCGGCGCCCAGCGCTTCGGACAGAGGCATCCAGGCTGCATTGCAGATCTGGGAAGAAGGCCTGCAGCGAGGCTGGCTGACAGCCGAGATATTGGAGGCTGTCAGATCTGCTCAGCTTCTGGGGCAGGCCGCGCCTCCTTATACCTCGGTGGTGTGGGTGCTTCCCGTTGCGCTGCTGTTCTGGCGCGATACGGCAAGGGCGGTGGAGCTAGCGCGGGCCGCTGCGGATGTGCTTGTGCCCACCGCCAGGGACCTGGCTGGGTGGTATGTGTTTGCCGTGACGACGGTGCTGTGGAACTGGGCTGCGAAGAGCGACGTTAGGCTCGAGAAGCGTTGGATGCGTGTAAAGATTGAGGACGAGTATCGACGGCTGAAGCTGGATGGGGTAAGAGGGGCCGAGGACGTCCATCGAGGGGTCGAGATATATATGGAAACGGACACGTTTGGTGAGGGGCTGGGTGTTGCAAGACGATCATGCAATCCTCAGGTGGTGGCAATGGCGTATGCGGGGATTGCGGGTGTCTGGTATGGGGCTACAGTGCGGGAGGTTGTGGATGGTCGGGCTTTTGTGGGATATGGTGTTGTGGAGGAGGTTGCTGGGGCGATTGGGACGTTGGCAAAGGAGATGGAGAAGAGAGATGACGATGAGACGCAGATGCTTGCTTCTAGTATTCCGCTGGACGATGAGTACGATGGAATGATTTAGTTTATGTTTTGCACTAGATTCCTCCCCAGTCATCTGGGGAGCTCAAACGAACAAAAGGGTGGCCAGTCAGTCATGATGCATATATGCCGTGGTAGATTATAGGCTCTTGATAGACAACAAGGCACAGTGAGAATCATCTCCCGCTCGACAGACCTAGCGTTCTAGCCTAACCCTTAATTAAGTCACGCGGCCTTTTGTATGTAACCATCCACTCCAGAGCCCACTCTGCCGTATGTTGTTTCGCTGCACGCACCTGGGTACCAGTAGGACGTTTGCCGTATCGGAGGCTCATTTTTTTTTTTATATTTTTACAAGACGTACTTTACTACATTTAATTTATTGCAATTAACAATTTCTCGCTCTCTTACTTTTTTATCTACCTAATACATCCCAGAAGGAAAGAGTATGAAGGCAAATCATGGAAAGAACTTAGGACTCGACCTCACCACAAGAACCAAGCCCTGCAAATTTCACGAAATTGTGGTTAGATTAGATCCAACCCTTCAGTGCTTTGCTTATTGCCCGATCGAATCCGCATCACCGGATGTAGGATCACGAACTATCACTCGAACATTGGGACCGCTGAGACTGATTGGCTGAGCCTACCAATCCAAGTTTGGAAACTTGTGCTTCAATTGAAACACACACCACAGTTTTCCAATTACAAGATAAAAGGGGCGTTTCACGCACTATTTAGTACATACTTTTAAACATTCAGGCGCATATTCTAAAGATATTTTTCTATTCTCTTCCTCTTCCTCTTCCTCGGTCCTCATTCCCAAAGTACCCAGTCCCAGTCCCCAAAAATAATCTTCTACCAATATTATCGTAAAAAAGACATCATAACGAAAAACATCAAAGGAAAACAAGGACCGGAAACAGAGAAACAAAAAATAACCCCGTCTATTTCCCACCGGACCCCCCCAACCAACCACCCTACACAAAAAGATATAAAATGAAAAAAGAAAGGAAAAGAAAAGAAAACGGAAAGAAAAGAAAAAGATATTTATTTCCCACATCTATAGAGCCCCCGTATCCCAAACAAGCAAACCAGTAAATAGTAAACAATAAAAGCAATCGTTTCTTCGTGCCGATTTTAACTTTTTTTTCTTTTTAAACCCCCGCTGTCGTATTAGCCGCCTATAATAACACTGACAATCCGGCACTTTAATCGGCCTCATCGTCAGTATCGACAGGCTTGGGAGTACCCTTGGGGCTGTTAAGCCACTCAAGGTACCTCAATCTCCTCCTGACCTCCCTCTCCTTCAACTGCGCCCTAGTGAACTTCTTCTTCTTTGACTTCCTCTGCTTGAATTGCATGTCACCGGTATCCTCAGCATCACTGTTGACAGCGCTGTTAACAGCACTGCTTTGAGCACTGCTGACGGCACTGCTTCCGGGCTGCGAGTCAACTGGGGCTGCAAGAAGAGCTCCATTGATACCCTTCTTGATCATACGACCACCTTCGACGTGCCATTCCTCGTTGGCAAGGGAAGAGACGAATTGGGCGTCGTGGGAAATGAGGCAAACACCACCACGGAACTCCTTGATTGCGGTTGCAAGTGCACCAAGTGACTCACGATCAAGATAATTGGTCGGCTCGTCCAAAATTAGCAAATGGGGTTTCGGCCACATAGCGGCGGCGATAACGACTTCAAATTGTTAGTTGAATTCTTCAAAGATTAGAGAGACTGAGACCAACCTTTAACTTTCTGTCCACCGGATAAACCACCAATCTCATTGTTCATGGCGATATCAGCTGGTAACCCAACGTCTTCGAAATGCTTGCTGATACTGGCCACATCCAACTCCCTGTAACCCATACCCTCTCTCGCACTCTCCGCATCGTCGAAATCCTGCACAATCTTGCCGAACCCATTTTCCAACAAGGTCTCTCTTGAGATCATGTTGTTATACTTGGTCGGAAGCCCGAACCACTTAACCTCGTACTGGAAACTCTTCTTCCACTTCTGTCTACCGATCAAAGCCTCAATTTTCTTTGGTCCACTCCCATCACCAAGATCAATAGGCTTCTCGAGCTGTGCCTTATCTTCATCGGAAAGGAGACGCGTATCCTTCATTGAAACCTCCTTGTCCACACCAGCTGCGAAACGCCATTGCAAGTACTGAGACGGGGTCTTGTCAAGGTTCATAGACACGTGGTGGAGCGACTGCTGCGCCATGTATCCAACACGCAAGTTAGGATGCTTTTCGACTTTGCCCTTCTGCGGTACCATTTCACCGGTAAGGATCTTGACGAGAGTAGATTTTCCAGCTCCGTTGGCGCCGATAATAGCAACACGTGATGAAAGGGAGAGAGAGCAAGTTATATCATATAATGAGGGCTTAGGGCTATTGGGGTACGTGTATGTGACGCCAGTCATCTTGATGATTGAACGGGTGTTGGACTTCACTCCAGTAAGAAGACCAGGAGGGGGGAAGAAGAATTTAACGGAAGAAGCATCAAGTGTGTAGTAGGCTTTTCCTTCAGGGCGGACTTTGACAAATCTATATGGTTGTTAATATCAATAAATAAAAAAGGCTATTCAGGTCTTAAGGTGAACTTACTCGGAAAGGTTTCCCTTATAATAAACAAGCTTCTTCTCCTCGTAGTGGATAATATCCGTGCAAACAGCGTCCAAAAATCGTGAGTCGTGGGACACAATTAATGAAGTAATGTCGGTATGTGTCTTGAGATAATCTTGCAACCATTTGACATTGTGGACATCCAAGTGATTAGTAGGTTCGTCCAACAGAAGCACCTCTGCACGCCTCAACATAGCCTCCGCAAGTGCCAACTTCATCTTCCAACCTCCGGAGAGCTGCCCGACCATCATATCAGCTCTCTCACCCTCAAAACCGACACTGCGTAGAGTCTCCTTGATCTCGTCTTCGGAATGACCGGTCTCACCGGCATCACGGAGAGCGATCTGGATATACTCAACGATGCTCATGTCACGCTCCTCAGTTGACTTGTGCTCGACAAAGCAGGTTCTCAACTCGTCCTTGGAAGGAAATCCTTCAAGTTTGCCCTCGCTGATAGAACGCATAAGTGTCGATTTACCGGCACCATTACGCCCGCAAAGTCCATAACGATGACCTTTGTAGAGTTTAAGGTTCGTGTGGTTAAGCAACATCATACCACCATAGGCAAGGGAGAACTCGGCATTGACAATCTCAACCTCGGTGTTACCATCGTCCTCAACAACACCGTCACCAAAACGCTTCAAAGTCTCCTCTTTGGCCCAGTTTTCCAGATCGGATGCAATGTTCTTAGCCTCCGCCTCACCATCCTCAGCCGCGACAATGTAGCGAAGATAAGGCTCGGCACAGTTGTGGATGTGCTTCCATTCCCGAACGACAATAGCTTCTCTGAGCATACTGGCTACGTAATTACGAACGCCTTTGATTTCCCATGTGTTGATCTCAGTTTCTTTGATGTGGCATCGACCATTAAGTTGTGCCTCAACATCCTCAACCGAAATACGCTCAGCGGTAGATTGGTCAACGCCAACCGCACCACTCTTCATCGCCTTCTCCATTGTGGCATTCGCGCTCTTAGCTAGAGCACGAACGACGGGCAAACTGGCGGTGTCTTCGATACGCTTTACACCAGGCTGAAGACGAGGAAGAAACTCGCGAGCCTCGACGGGGTCATGGACAAGCTTAGTCAAGTTTTCCACGACGACCACGGTTTGACGAAGAACATCCTGAGAGGTTTGAGGGGATGTGAGGGACCGCTCAAGAAGTGGTGTGAGAAGAGAAAGCACGGGAGATGTAACAACGGCAATAAATGTTGTTTGACTAGTGACTGTTAGATGGAAACTTTTGACATAATAAATTGAAGAACAAACCTGAGGTCGTGAATAGCTTTTTGAAGAGTTTCCTTAGAGGGCTCCTTCATAGTCTTGATCAAAGTAGGAATGTGTTTGGCGACATCATCGTTACTGAGTAGCTTACTCAAACTAGTCATTGTCTTGACGGCGGCGCTAGAAACCTCCTTCTTGAGGTCGTGCATGCCACTCTCGACAACGGGAATGAGCTTCTCAAGCTCACGGCCCATGACATTCTTCAAAAAGCCATCTCTCGCAGCAGCCTTGTCTGCAACCTTTCCAATCTGTTGCAACGCTCCAACACGTCCTTGCCATTTTGCACCAGGGCTCTTCAGATATTCCATGAGAACACGGACGAGCCCAACAACAAGACCCTCCTCCTTTAGCAAGGCAAAAATGGCATCGATAGCATATTGCGCGCTCTCGCGAACAACAGAACCTTTGTCGGCCAATCCATCAAAGACATTTGCAAGGGTCGACTTAAGCAACAAAATCTCGGTCATAGGAGACTTTACTGGAAGTGACTCGTACAAAGCGCCGTAAACAATCATTGCGGACTCCCGGTTGGTGCCAGATTTCTTATCATTGGCGGCCTTGGCGAGTGCGGGGATTAACTGATCCAAATAGTGGTGTGCCACCGCCGGGTTGGCGGTAATGGCTGAGCATAATGCAAGAGAAGCATCTAGGGAAGCCTGTGAGGTTTTCGCTGTAAATACAGCAGCGAGACTGGAAGGAATATCGAGGTCGAGAGATAAGGAAGCCATCGAGGCGTCGAGGACTCCGGGCATCTGACAGAGCAAAAACTTCGGGGGAAAGATCGACGGTCAAAAAGACTTTTAAAAAGCGAACGTAGGGAGTCTCTGGAAGTATCGGAGTATATAAGGGAACTTTATTTGTACAACAAAAAGCTTCGTTCAGACGGCGCAGGAGGACACAACAGAAGACTGAGGGGAGATTTGGCGAATCAAGCGCCTAGAGGAAGGGGCCTCTGTAAGCTAACTGTATCTCTGAGGGGAAATGGGCAGCAGAGAACTCTGACTGCGGAAGAAGAAGAGGGGAGAGGTGAGGAGAAGAGGAAGGGGGGGAGGGAAGGGGGGGGAGAGAGGAGGATAGCAAGAGAGAAAGGCTGAGTGGAGATGTGTCTTCTAAAGAAAAGAGAAAAATGAAGTCTAGAAGGATGAAGAGGGGGAAACTTTTGCGCCAAGGTTTTCACATGGGGCTAGTCCACCCGTCTCATAGCCCAAATCTATATCATTGATAGGCTATTCTTGGTTACTAATCCGCCCAAGAGCCTCACTTGGCTGGCAGGGTGGCGTAAAGAAGGAATCTCACTGGCGCATTACGGTACATGTATGTAAGCAGTAAGCAAAGCCAACCCTCTGATATCACCCTTATTGACATGGCAGATACATACGTGTACCCGACCCTGTTACTGGATCGTCCCAGCAATCTGCGACTGCAAGAAAAAAAGCTCCTCGCATCAAATAATTGCTGCCAAGACCACATGCTAGCTGTAGTAGCTCCCTGCAGTGGTCTACTCGCCGATAACCTTAAAACAGTCCGATTAGCCCTTATCGCGATCAGATAAGAGCGCCACTTACGATGTGGGCCTCGAGCTTCAAACATCGGCATCCCGACTGAAACTTTTATCCAAGCAAGGATATCTACGTTTTTCCACCTACGTTATCTGTGTTGTCCTGCGTACAATCAACTTTCAAAATTATGTGTTCATTTAGTACCATCATGATATCTCACTCGATATCTGTAAACATTCGCCTTCAAGAAATCTTGAGCAATAAAGACATGGATACATGTATTGCAGCGGGGTACAATTCCTTTCGTAGCGCATGCCATCGAAATCAGCTTAGTAAGTGGGCTCAATGTGGGCAAGCGATGTAGGTTTATAGACATAGCCGAAAGGCGGGCGGAAACGGGTGGAAAAGGCAGACCCTGGCCTCTTCCCCCCTTCTCTTCTAATCACATCGGTTCATCGGTTCAGTTATTCACGCTTGTACCAGTTCTCCGAGAAGGATCAAGACCCAAACGCAAACAGCAGTCAACACCGTTGGGTAAAGGGCAATAGGTTCGGGTTCCGAACCAATGCGCACTTGTGAGTGGTCAGAGCTCAATGAAATAACCCTAGATTCTTGCTGCAACTCTTTCGACTCGACTTTTCTGCTATTGCGTCGTATATTTCTTTTTTGCTCATATGTCACTATGTACATATAATAGGCACACCTGAGATTTGCAATTGTGCCATCAGCACGCGGAGATGAACGAAAACCAGACGTCACTATGCCCCTCGCATATATAGATACGCCAGATGTAAACTTACTTCTAAAAAGACGTCAATAAGGCCGAGGAAAGAGCGCTTTTTTGGCACCGCTCATTCTCGCCTCTTACAAGGCCAGCGGCCCAACGTGGACGACATCTTCAACACCAACGCACTAAAAACTGCGAGTGATATACTGTGATTATCAATAACATCCACCATATCTCTACACCAAATTAAGAATCTCGTAAGCTAACTACAATAAACAAAATATAGACATCTTGATCCCGCGTACCAGGCACCGAAATAAAGGGAGGGAAAAAAAATAACCCGCTACAGCCCCACAAAACCCAAACCCAGACCCATCACAACCATTACCATCCACCACTCACACCCCCACCTCACACCAGACGAAACAACATTAAACGACAACCCCCTCGTCACTGTTGTGCTTGTGGCCGGCTCTGTGGTCGCAGCCACTACGGTCGTAATCACTATAACTGTTTGCGAGCCCGGCCCCGACATCCCCGATGTTGATTCTGTAGCCGTGGATGTTAATGTTATTGTTAACCTTGGCGGTTCCTGCTGTTGCGGGGCTGTTGTAGTGGTTGTTATTACTATCGGTACATCTCGAGTCATGGTAGGGTCTGGAGGGTCCGGCGTAGGCGTAGGCACATCCGTCGGCACCGGCACGGGAGCCGTCGTCTTCGACTTCACCCTAGTTGCCGTCGTCGTCGTCGTCGCCACCGCCACCTCCGTCGTCCCGCCTATCGGCACCACCGTCAAAAAGGTCGTCAACGACGGCACCTTCATCCCAAACCCACAAAATCAGCACACATATATCCCTCTCTCCCCACGGTGCAAACAATACATACCTCCCCGATGCTGCCCCCGCCGTTCGGCAGCTGGTCACACCCGACCCTGATGTGCTCCTCGCACACGTCGTTCCTGTAAGCCTCGCACCCGAGGCGGCCCGGCTCGTTGCCGGCGACGGCGGCGAGGCAGTCGCGGAAGGCTTGCATGCATTGGTCGTAGACTTCGCGGCAGGCGGTTTTGGAGGCGAATTCTTGGGGGAGCACGGGGAAGGGGAAGGGGAAGGGCGCGACTTGGGCTAGTGCGGTGGTGTTGTTGGGAGGGGCGAACAGCAGGAGGTAGATGAGGAGGTAGTAGATGAGGTGGGTGTGTGGTGTTGTTGAGGTTGGGTGCGTGGTGAGGGTGGTAGGGTTTGGTGGCATTGTGGGAGTGGTGGGCGGGCGGGCGGGTGCGGACGGCCGGCGTTGTGGAGGGGGTTGTAGGGTGGCCAGGACACATTCGAGGTGGAGGTAGGAACGTAAGTAAATGATGATATATACTGATGTGTTTGGTGGTTCTTAGTAAATATTATAATCTTCACGGTGATTGATTAGACAGGAAACGAACAGCACGTAAGGGAAAAAAAATCAGAATAGTAAGTGAGTGAGTGAGTGAGGGAACGGACGCTGGACGAAGAGTGTCCTAGCCAGCCAGCTAGCTAAGGGTCGATCGGAGTTCGGAAAGTGCAGATGATGGAACAATATAAGCTCTTCAGATAGACTACACATCCCTACAGAAGCTGAGACGGTATGCACGATCTGTGTAACTGTATCGTGGGGTATTCAATAGAGTACTCTGCTAAAAAAAAACCTTGAATTGCAAATAGCTAGGAGGAGGGGGTGACAAGACGGACGAAACGGTTTTTATCTTGTTCTTGGTAGAATGATACTGATGTTGTGTTCGTGACGTGAGGTATGTAGATTTCGAAAGCTCGACTTGGTTGCTTTTTTTGCAACAATGATTGAGTTTGCGGGTTTTTGCATGCATCCACGTTGATAATTTATACTTGCACATGTGCGCGAGTAGAGTATATATTTACCGTTCAGAAGGTGCTTCTTTCCTCCCCTCCGGACCGAAAGCTTAATCGCCCACACTTGATACATGTATGGTGGAGCGCTGGCCCATCTTCCCGCATCCCCAGATTACTTTTTTTTCCCACAAAACCGCGCTTCCAGAACGCGGAGCTTACACATCCATCTATACCGACAGATGCCCATTCGTCCAAAGGAAGGGGGGGCAAGGCATGATCTCTGCTTTCTTCGACATCAAGTGTTTGCGTTACTGTAACTCACCCCCCCCCCCCCCCCCAGTTGGAGGTCTGCGACGCCCCCGGTGTTTCATCCCTGACATGTCAACATTGAAGTCAATGCCATCCTGTCCTGTCCGATCTTTAGACTGCCAGATGCGGTGTTTGCTTATTCCGGGAGAACCCTTGCGTTTGCCGTCTCCCAAGGAAACGGTAGCTCCTATCTGGTCCAGGGGTTAGTTGGTTGGTACATAGAGCTCTGCATAGCTGCCTAGCTAGTTGATATGAGAGAGTAATTAATTAGTAGATAGCTACTGTTAGTACTGGTGGAGCTTCCTGACGACAGCACCTTTTGTTTTGCGAGTTACTAGTGGACTGCATGTTTCCTGCCAGTTGAGACGGATGTTTGCCTCTATCAAAACCTCTGCGCACATGTGCTGCTTAGAGATAGCTGTAGGGGGGGGGGATTTGATTCGAGGTTGGACCCTGCACTCGCCTAACCCGTCTGGCTAGACACCACTTCTTGGCAGTGTAAGATCACGTGCAATTGCCCCCCCGCGCCGTGTGTCGAGCTCTCTCGCCCTCGCCCTTGCCCTCGCTCTCGCACCTCCTCCACCGCCTCCGCTGCTGCTGCTGGTGGGAAAGAGAGTCTCAGCCTCGTCTCTGCCGACATCTGAACATCGCCCCCCCCCCCCCTCCTCTCAGATCAAACAGCAGCATAGACAGCTACTGTCTACTGCATACATACAGACCGCCCAAGTACATACATACAGACCTACCCCCCCCTCACCTCTCCACTCCACTCCCACCCCCCCCCCTTTTGAGGTGTTTCTTTGGCTCGAGAAGCTGCCACTAGTAGACTCGGAAGAAGAAGACCTGCTTGTGCTTGTGCCTGCTCGCCTCACGATCACTCAGCTCGCGTGCGTGTGATATCGGGTGACGGCAGTCGGGTCCGTTTCGTTGTTTGCTAATAACGACTTTCCTTTTTCTCTCTCTCTCTCTCTCACTCACTCTCTCTACCTTTACCTCTCTACCACCTCTCTCTCTCTCGTTTCTGTTCTATGGTGGTTTCACCGGGGACTCCTCTCGTCTTCCTCTTCTTCTACTGCATTACCTACATACTTACTTAAGACTTAATATTATTCCGGAGGTCGGGATCTGTCCGTCCTTTCCTTTCTTCTTCGATCTTCGTCGAGGCTCTGCTCTGCTCTGCTCTGCTCTGCTCTGCTCTGCTCTGCTCTGCTCTCTGCTCTCTGCTCTTGCTGGTTGCAATTTAGTGACATCGCTCGGCATACCTCATTTGCGAGGCGCTGTAATTATCACACAAAAACACACACCTTCTTCCAACCCAGCAAGCCAGCCAACGGACCTCTTTTTCTTTTCTTCATCTATTTCTTCTTGACTGGAAAGGGGGCCCTCTTCCCATTCTATCTTTCCCTTCCCCCCCCCCTCCTCCTCATTCTCCTATATACACCTTATATTCCCCTCCTCCCTTCGTCCATTCACACTCTTCTATCCCCCCCCACATCAATCTACCTCGGGAAACAAAAGGCTGCCCAGCTACTAGCCGGTATATACATCTAGCTAGCGATAAGGTACACAACCACCAACCATGGACACCCAAACACAGACACAGACCCAATCGCACGCAACCCAACCCCGCGACCTCCCCCCACTCCCCCCCGGCATCCGCCCCCGCACCCTAAGCAACGCCTACCGCTCCCCCGCCTCAAGCACCACCCGCCGGCCCCGGCCCCCACCGCCGCCCCGCCAGACCAGCGACATCGTGCTACCGCCATGGCAGCCCGACTCCAGCGTGTCCAATTGCCCCATCTGCAGCTGCGGCTTCACGTTCTTCAACCGCAGGCATCACTGCCGGTATATCACCTACTACTGCTGACTTACTGACTGTACAAGGTAACCTGTGGGCTAACGAATCGGTGGGGGCTGGGTGTAGGAAATGCGGCCGCGTCGTGTGCCAGGGATGCTCGCCGCATCGCATAACGATTCCGAAGGCGTTTGTGGTGCAGCCGCCGCAGAGCGCGGGGTGCTCGCAGGGGCTGGTGCCGGTGGTTGTTGGGGGCGGCGGTGGCGGTGGGAGTAGCAGTGGGGGTGCTCGCGCCCATAGGGCGTCGTGGAGCCCTGATGGTAGTCCGGCGCTGCTAGTGAGACAGTCGAGTGATAGCGAAGACGACGGACTGCTGGTGAGGATGTGTGATGAGTGCTTGGGGCCTCATACTAGGGTATTGTCTCCCCCGCCTAGTCGATATGGAAATACGAGGGAGGGCTAACCGCCGTCCGCTACAGACACAGCAAAGCTACCGCACGCATCCCCACATCAACTACAACCACCCGCGCTCCCCACAGACTCCCACCGCCTACCACAACTCCCTCCCCTCCCGCCGGCCCCCACACAACTACTACCCCGTCCCCGCCCGCCGCGGCAGCGGCGACCTCTTCCAACCGCCGCCCCAGCAGCACCTGAAAGAGACCGACTACTGCCCCATCTGCACGTCCACCCTGCCGCCCATCCGCGCCAACGGCTCCGAGGAGGACCGCGAGGCCCACGTCCAGAACTGCATCCGTCAGGTTGAGCATAGCGTCTCCCCCGGCGGCGGCAGCGCGCCGGGCCGCGTCGGCAGCGGGAGTGCGCCGCAGCCCGGAGAGATTGGCAGGGCACGGAGGTATACGGGTGGTGGTAGGATGGTCGTGTGGAAGGCGACGGAGAAGGATACGTGGGCGAGTGTGGACGATGATGAGGTTACGCCGAGTTCGACGCCGGTGCAGACGCCGATTATGACGCCGGCGCCGGGGACGGTGCCGGCTGAGGACTTGACGGTGTCGGTGGAACCGGCGGAGGCGGCGGAGGCGGCGGAGGTGGCAGAGGGGAGCGGAAGTGCGTCCAGGGAAGCGGCGGTAGAGGGGAGTAGTGCGGTGAATGAGGATGAGAAGCAGCCGCCGAAGAGGCAGGTAAAGAGGGAGAAGGCCGAGTGCGTCATCTGCTTTGAGGAGTTTGAAGAGGGCGACATAATTGCGCGGTTGGAGTGCCTGTGCCGGTATCATAAGGTGCGTATCATTTGAAAATTCTTTCTCTGGGGAAAATGTCCTCTAACTGACTCTGGGGGCAGAAATGTATCCGCGCATGGTTCGACCGACGAGGTAATGGGGAGTGTCCGGTGCATGCTGTGCACGAGTAGTTTTTCTTCTTTTCTTTCTTTTCTCCTTTTTGCGGGGGTGCGAGTAGAATAGAGATACTAGTGGTGGCGCTACACATATAGCTAGATGGCCCCTTCTTCTATTATCGCCCTGGCTGTAGATCAAAGCGCAAACGCAACGTTTGGAGTTAGATTCGGTGGAGTTTATTGTTTTTTTATCTTTCAGTTTTTTTCCTCTGCCTTTTTTTCTTTTTGCTGGCTTGGTGTGGTCGCTCCTTGGTGTTGCATATGTGATTTAACGGAAGGAGCCAGTTGAGGTAAGGCGGGCGGTCAGTGTACTGTGTGGATGTTGGGGTTGTTGGCTTCGTATCTTGAGCTCTATTTTTTCCTCTATTACTACTCTTACTCTTACTACTACTCCTACTATTCTTCTCTCACCCTCCTCCTCTTTTTTTTTTTTTTTTACTCCGCTGCGGTTTGGATTGCTCATTGCCGGTTGGGTATGTTTCTTCTTTTTCCTCTCACCTCTTTTCCCTCTTTTCCCTCTTTTTCCTCTTTTTCCTCTTTTTCTCTTATTCCTCCTCCTCTTTACTCTTATCTGTTTCCTCTATTCTTCTATTATTTCATCTCATGGCGGGGATCTCTTTTTTTCTTTTTCTTTCTTCTAGTTGGTTCTCCCGTTTCTGTCTATCTATGGCTCGGTTTTCTGGTTTGGTTTGGTTTGGCTTGGTTCGGGTTCGACTTCTGGTTTGGTTTGGTTTGGTTTGGTCTCTCTCTCTCGACTTGTGGTTTGGTTTTTCTCGTTACATAAAGTGTTTTGTGCTGGGTTGTGGTTTGTGAGGCGCGGAGGGGGTGGAGAGGAGTGGAAGAGAGGTGATGTAGCTAGTTTTGAAATATAAAAGATGGTTTGGCAGTTTAGTGGTGATGATGGAGTGAGTGAGCGGTGTAGTTGATGAGCAGTGTCAATGATAATGTAGCCCGCGGGCCGAAGTTGGGTTGTGATACAGTGTGGTGTGGTGTGGTTACGCTATATGCGTCATGGGGTATCACTCGGGCGGATTCCGGGTGGTGATGGCTCGCAGGGGCGGTGGGAGGTGTGAGAGTGCTACGTGCAAAAGGTTTCCTGGAATATCAAAAATTCTAGAAGGTACATGTAGCTACGGGGGGAGGATACATGCGGTGATAGCATTGATATATCCTTCTACGGAGGGATTAGGCTTGGTGAAGCTTGAGGGACTTCCGGCCCCGCTGCTCTAGCTCTAGCTGGGTGGTTGAGCTTGTCCGGTGGTGTTGCGCTGGGCGTTCAGCCTGCCTTGTTAGGGGGTTTTACTGTTCCTGCATAATCTAGACCTACTCGACGCTACGCATCGGACCATGGGCACCTATCGCTAACTTATACCGACATGACAGAATACCTTGGAAGCGCGTTACGGCACGTAACAACCCACCGCTAGCATTGTTTAACTTGAAGAAGAAGCGGGCGACTACGGATATTCGGAGTTGGTGAGCAGCGGCGGCGGCGGCGGAGAGGGGACGTTAACAATGGGGTTTGGGAGCGCTTGACCGAGAACTACGGGAAGGCGGGTTGGTAGCTTAGCCTAGCAGCGTCTAGAACAGAGGGGGATATTTGCTCCCCAGTCCCCTCAGGGTTTACTGTGGTGTCGCCGGTGCGTGAGTTCCCATAGGGTGATTTCTATGTCTTAAGGCCCTTTTTTGAGTAAAGGTGCATGAGACTGTGGCAGTAAGTGATGATGTATGGACCATTCTTACGCGCTGAACGAGTCTATGAAGACTATCATCCAGAAGACTAGATGAAGGCGGGGCGCGCTTGCATCGGGAAAGAGCTCTGTGGGATTTCTCTTGGCAGCGAGTGATGGTCTATGATTATATTAGTTTCCCGCACACAGGTTTTGTTCTACATACCACGAGTTATACTATCAAGTTTATGGCTTTAGAAACTGGATCACAGCTACATGTATCTAGAGTGGAAATTTTTGGGAGAGGGGGGGGGGGGGGAAATCTAGGTCTGGGTTATGGAGAGAGGGTTAGTTAAACTACTCAAACACTAGCTTCTCTAACTTCCTAAGTAGCTCAGGACGAGCGTATCGCCTCTTCCTGTCTAGAGTTTTCTGACAGTATATACATACATATATATATTAAACAGAATTCACACTTTCTCAGATGGATGGACATCTCAACTGCCCCCGAAGCAAGGCAAGCACCTAAGCGCACAGAGCTAGATGTCTGGGTTACTTGAGGACGACATGAACTATCTGATATCGGCCCAAGAGCTTGATTGAAGCCCCGGTACCATATAGGTCTTGACTACGTACCGCTACCGAGGTAGCCATAGCTAGCTATAGCTTGATTCAAAATAACATCCACAGTCTTAACTTAGGTTTTTTTTTTTTTTTTTTTTTTTTTTTTTGTTCAATTCATTAATCTTAACTTAGGGTCCATATCTGCAGCTTCTCAGCTCCAAGCCCGTCCGCCGAGGCCTACTGTACCAAGAGCGCTTGTGCTATGGCCGGTATTGTATCGCAGGTTAAAAATCACGCTAACCCTCCGCTGGGAAGCGGCGGCGGCTTTCGTGGAATGGCCTAGCTAGGTGGTAAGCTTCTATCATCTTGAAGATTCGGGACGACCGGCCGATGTGTATGTAAGGGACAAACACTTGGGACTGGCGACAGGTCCAGCCTCAAGAGATAGTACCTACAGCACCAGAAATTTGGGAAGGGGGGGGGGGGGGGGGGTGTAAGACTCCTACTGCATCAGTTCAAAATCGCAAGAGTATAACTGGAGTTCTATGGAATTTCCAAATAGTGCAGTAGTAATTCCGCCCGCGTTTCTGTTATTGTGGTTGGATATATGATTATAACTAGGCTAGCTAGGTGACCACACGTATAAAGAATCAGAGATTTGGCTGGTAAAATTAGGGGTCTCCCGGTCGTCTGGCTCGGGTATATACAATAGTTCAAGTTAACTCCGATACGTACGCGGGTCTGGATATCTTCAGAACGGTGGCCAGCTAGAGATGAGACGCTATACACACCGCCCCCCCCCTCCCCCCCTCCCCCCCTCCCCAGGGCGTCTTTCTCCTTTCCGGCAGTAGGTACAGCTAGTAGTGCTGATGGAGTGTGAAACAAGTGGTTTAAAGTGGATGATATCAAACCGTGGTATCTGCTTGCAAATATATAGGACAGGGGATGAGGTCTTGGCAGAAAAACCACCACTTAGAACCCATTCATGCATCATGAATGCACAAAGGAGAAAGCGGTGGTCCGAGACCGCTGGGAATATTGCAACTATTCTCCGCGACAGGGGGCTTACATGATGACTTTTCGGAAGCACCGTTATCACCTGGATTTGGTCATATTACTCAGTGCAGGATCGACGTACATAAGTTTCATACCCAGGTAACTCAACTGGATGAATCGTGGAGTTGAAGCTTACATGTAGAATAGAGCAAGTACTCGCACCAAACATCTCAATAGAGTGCATAATACACTTAGCGAAGCATTCCAAACAACATAGTCACAAACACCTTAGCAGAGTGACTGTAGCCCTCTCCACCACTAACCCAACTACAACATGTCGCTAGAGTAGCACATCTCTACATCACGCACGATCTCGCCCGCTACTCTACGTACCATAAATATATATAAAAAGAGATACTATTAATGTCTCAACGTCACGCCAAAATCCGACATCTTCCCACCCAAACACGTGTTTCCTCCGACATCTCTCCCCGCCGTTCTCTTCTACCCGCTCGTGTGTATTGAAAGACCTGCTGTGCCTGCTGCACGTGGCGTGTTAGAGATGGGGAGAGAGACATTGCAATGTGTCACTTGTGACATATAACCGGGTAGACAGAGCATTGGTGCTTTTTTGATATGTATGCACCATGTACAGTACATACTCTATGGGGAATAGAAAAGACATTCGCCAATCTTTTTTACTCACTGCCTGAGACTTGCACTTTGTGAAGGGTGATGGAAATGCGGCGGCCATTCGATGATGGAGCGAAGTAAGAAAATTGGCAATACTCTACATAGCCCGCCTCGCCCCATCACACAACGCCTATGCATGTAAAAGAGGGGAGGCACTCTTGGTTGGCCGTTATTTGCAATCTGCATTGAGTAGTCGGTTTGGAATGTTGTATGTTCCGCCAAGGTTCTTCCATAAAATGCAAACCATGGTTCACATTTTTAACTACGATCGGTCTGATCCTAAATTGGGCAGGCTGAATTGGAATTGGAATTAGCGGCAATTCACAGCGTGACCGCAGTACTGGCAATGATCGCAACTGCGGGGAAAAAAAAAGCAAGTGATGAAAAAATACATAATTATTCAGGAATATGGTATTCGATCCTTCTACGAGTTTGCTTTTTTTTTCTCTTTCTCTTCCCTTTAAAAACACAGTAGTACCCTCTCCTCCTCATACTCTACATGTATTTACCCAATTCCTCATCAATCCATCCGTCGGACTATCGTACGTGCGCAAAGCTACAGTGGGGGGCGTTCTCTACACTTTCCCCTTATAAAAAAAAAGAGACTCTCACTCGCTCATGAACAGAAAAGGAAAAAATGAAAGATAAAAGCTATGGAAAATGGAAAGAAAACCCAACCCAACCAATCCAGAGGTAGAAAAGAGAAGGAAAAAAAAGACCAAAATGAAAAAAAAAAAAAAATGAAAAATGAAAAAAAAAAGGATGAAAAACAATAAAACAAAAACACCCCCAATTAGAAACAAAGGAACAAGGAAAAAATAAAATAGCGAATGATTAGATAGATACTTAGCTAATCCAATAATAGTGATAGAGAAGAAGCCATACAAACCGTTATTACTGTAGAGAGAAGGAGAAAAACGAGTGGGGGATAAAAAAGACAAACACCATTTTTGAACCCTCACAAAAAAAAAACATTCCATAAACTGAAAGAATGAAAAGAAAAGCTCGGAGAATTTGAATAACCCCTGCCTAGTATTCACAAAAGCTTCCTCAGTATCCTACGCAGGGGAAAAAAAACCCCCTAAACACCCT